TCACGTTTCCAAATACACCAGCTCTTCAAGGTCCTGATGATTAGGACATCTTCCGGAGGACCACCATTTAACCCACTAAACCATCCCTCCAGGGAGTGAGGAAATCCCCCTGCTTCAGGGATTATGGAGACAGACATGGCCCCTGATCTCACCGGTTTTGCATACTGTGAGCGTGTCCCAAGAGAAAACACAGGTGGGAAAAATTACAGCTTGGTGTTGGACAGCTAACAGGACCAGAGAGTGGCTTCTTCACTGCAGGTAGCAAAGTGTGTCTGTGTAATAGAGTGTGGTATAAGAGACGGTGCTTATCTGTAGGACGGAAGAGCTCCATAGAGAATGCGCACAAGGCGAGCCTCAATTACGTGTCTGCAGTGATCCAGGGGAGGAAGGAAATTGCAAGCAGAGAGGGAACAGACAAACAAAGCTTGAAGACATTCAGAAGGTCCGAAGTGAAGGAGGGAAGCCACTAGTACTCTTAGACTGGAAGCTTGGACTCGAATGTACATGAGTCCTTTTTTATTTTCTTCTTCTTCTTTTTAAAAGCAAGATTTTCTTCATGAAAGAAGCCATGCACTGATTTACATTCTGATCAAAAGTTCTTCCCTCCCTGAAACCAAGGGCTGCTGCCTATCTACTGCCAGGGGCAGTGGCAGAGTTCAGGTGTGTATGGCAGATGAGTCATGAGGAAAGCTGTCCACGGCCGAACTGGACTCAGAGCATGGCAGCCTTTCTGTGGCATGCTAATGTACAGGAATTTTTATTTTATTTTATTTTATTTTACTTTGTCAGTGTGGACAGTAGAGGACTACCAGGGTGAGCTTCATAGCACAGAGCTATGAAAGTGGGGTGGGGGTGGGGTGGAGGGGTTAGGACACCATTGCAGTTATCTCTTTCCCAAATGTCAGTTCTTTATGGCGGGGTTGGTTTGTGAAAACATTGTCATCAGCCCATGGTGAGATAAAAACATTAAAAATGATTTAACTATCTTTTCATAAAGCCAACCTTTATTCAGTTGGCAAGGAAAGGACCCTCTTCTCTGAAATTAGGGTCTCCCAGCTTCTGTGGGAGTAAAGCTCTCCCTTCATCTGAGCAATTACGGTGTGAGACAACCCTGAGCTCTAAGCATTGTGTCTATCTGTCAACCATGTGATCTCCCCAACTTGTGCCCTAGATCTCAGGGAAATAGCAGCTTCTCATGGCTAAGCAAATATCCCCTGGAGATTTTCCTGGACTGTAAAGTCCACAAGGAAAAGGAACTCTTGGGCTAGGGAAGTGCCTAACCTCAGGCTGAGGGAGTGGAAAGCACTTGCGGAGATAGACAAGAGAGGCAAGTTGGGGGAGGAACCCCTAAAATGAGATCCTTGGCAGTCAGGTTCTCTATAATTTGTATACACAAGGACTCCTGCTGAGACCCAAGTGTATCATCAGTTTGATGCTTTCAGTAAGAAACCCAGAGTGCCTGCTTTGAAGTTAATTGTATTATGAAATACATTTTGTGAAAAATGCTAACACAGCTTCATATCTCCCCCTCAATTTCGTTCTATAAAATTAAGATTATTTGTGCATTTGTTGTTTTCTAGTTAGGCACCCTGATCTTCATTTAAAATCTCTTTGTAGAACAATTCCCCATCCCCTAGCCCTGCGTGACCATTCATCCTGACAGCAGAGTGGATGAATGATGAATAATTTCATCTGATGTTGCTGTTGAGAACATCAGAGTCATCTCCTCGTGGGCTGCTGTCGTGAGATCCGATCCTTTGATCTCTGCACAGGCGGTAAGCTGGTTTTGTCAAATTGACACCAGCAAGGACTGCCTCAGAGGACCTGGTCTCTCTATTTCCATTACCCTTAAATCCCATGTTTGATTTTCTTGTTCTTTTCTGGCATTTTCTAGTCTGTGAAATCAGAATGAATTATAATCTAATTACCATGAAGAAGACCAAGCCAGTCCCTGTGGAGGAGCAACCTGTTAAAGGATCCTGTGTTGGAACTCTTGGTTCTGTGTGTGTGTGTGTGTGTGTGTGTGTGTGTGTGTGTGTGTGTGTGTGTGTGTGTATGTATGTGTGTGTGTCCCCACATCATCCCCCCATAACTTCACATGTTCACATTCCCCACCTGGATGGACGTTATTCTACTCACTTTGATGGTGAGGATAATATTCCACTCCAAAATGGAAGTCCATTTAAACATAGAATCCTTGAAATTTTTGAAGAAAAGAATGGAGTTTTCTTGGTGGCATGTTGAGTCTGTTTTCCTTAATGAAAAAAACAAAACACATTTTCTATTGCTCACTTCCCTTCAGTCTACTATTTGTTTCTGCAGGGATACCTGGCAGGCATTGTTGTAATCATAGAGGGGCCATATTCTCCCAGGGCTGTGTATTTTGCAGCCCAGCTTCCCAGGCATTCCGATGGAACTCTTGCGTTCCTTTCTTTCCGTGTTCGCTGTGATCTCTCTGGTGGATCTTAGGGAGTTTCGGTGTAGAGTTCTGAACATTAATGAGACTGTTTTCCTTGACTCATTATTTAAGAGTCACAGAGTGTGTGTCCCTCCAAGCTGCAGAAGCAACCCTTGCTATCTGCTTTCCATCCATCAGTCTGACCTTGCTACCTCCTTTTGTACTCAGCCACTACTCTTGGCCGATCTCTATCAGGTTGGAGTCTAGACAGTGGGAAGCTGCATCCTTACACGCGTGCCTTCATCTTCTCTTCTCATGGTTGCCAGGGCCGCTCTTGCTAAGTGTGTGTACCCTCACATTTCTTTAATTACGTTGAACTACCACTCTGGTAGAGGTGACCAGCTGACATTTGTGGAGGTTGAGTGTTAGCAGCCCTGGTGTTAGCACCTCATTCCTTTCACGCTTTGTGATCTTCTCTGACTGACTGTATTTCCATGGCCCCAAACTGCCAAGTGCTAGGATAATGTTTTGGGTTTTTTTGGTGGTGGTGGTGTTTGGGTTTTTTTCATGATCTCTAATCCAGTCCATTTCCCCAAGCTTCATGTCACTTTACTTGTCCTTCAGTTAGCACAAGAACCCCCTGTCTAGGACAGAACCCCCCACCTCCCCTTTCATTCCCTCTGATGGTGGATCACAGCATTGTCCATCTAGGGGCCCTGAATGGGAGAAAGATCTGTTTAATCTTTATCCGTGGTGCTTTATCTGTACCAGAAAGAAAATACTTGAAAAGACGTCATTAATTTCTGTTCAATAAATGATGGTGCAATTTTTAACTCAGTAAAGAAAATCCTTTAATGTAGATGTAACCAACTGTCTTATTAAATAAGAAACACAGAGCCGATTCAGAGAAGAAAGCCAAGAGGTCAGAGCTAAGAGCCTCACCCTTCCTGCTTCAGCGATCCTCTTCAGCCAAGAGAGCTCTCCGAAAAAGGGGCCTACTTCCTGTGTGTATGACTTTATATACTCTAGCTGTTCTGCCTTCTCATTGGTTGTAAACCCAAACATGTGACTGCCTCGTCACTGCCTGTATGTACCGCCCTCCAGGTCCTTAAAGGCGTGCGCCAGCCGCCACGGACTTGCTATGGCTCTAATAGCTCTGACCCCCAGGCAACTTTATTTATTAACATACAATTAAAATCACATTTCAGTACAAGTAAAATACCACCACACTTTAACCCTAAAACTACCTTTACTCTGTGGTTTAAAGTGCTGGCCCTCTTCTAGTACAGCTCCCTCACATGCTATACCCCCAAATTTCAGAGGGTTGGTGTTAGAAAATGGCTTCCCACTAATTGGGGGAAGAGGAGACAGTGTATTCATTTTGATGTGAAATGGCTGCTGGAGAACAAGGACTCATCTGAATTCAGACTTCTAAAGATAGATCTCACCATGTTTTCATTTTACCTGGTAACACCCTGGAGGAGATAATAGGTTTCAAATCCTTCAGACAGAGGCGGACTCGTATCCTAACTTAGGAATACTAAGTGAGTCGGTAGTATGTACAGGTATTTGGGGAGCGTGAATTGAGCATGCAGAAAACCCAGGTCATTCACCCATGCCTTCTCACCTCTTCCCACTCTTTCCATTGACTCCTCTTACTGCGTAAGACATTGAAGACCTCAGCAGTCCTTGGAGGGAGCTAACAGCTCTGCCACTAATGCCTGAAAAAAAAACCACACACACACAACCAAGCTAGAGGGGAACAATGTGTGCCCAGCCCAGTAAGGTAGAAAAATGCCTGACAGAGCAAGATGAGAAAAAGAAAATCTCCAAAAGTACCATTGAGTTGGCTTTATATCAGCGATCTACAGCTGGGCATGGGACTGCCTTTAAGTGTGGTTTGTATTCTTGGTGAGACTTCCTTGAGAAAATTAACTTTGCCTTTGTGACCAGTTATCAATTGCAGGTATCCATTTCCACCTCTCGGTGCTGGGAACCCATCCAGCTTTGACCTGTCCCACAGTCTCTGTGACGCCGCATCAGTCCTGTTGTGTCTGGGAAGCAATGTTTCCTTGGTGTCATCCATCTCCACTGACTCCTACAATCTTGCTCACCTCCTCTTCTGCAGAGTTCCCTAAGCCCTGAGGGGAGGATTTGATGAAGACATCCCATTTAGAACTGAGTGTTACAAGTCTCTCTTTCTCTGCGTATTGTCCAGCTGTGGGTCTCTGTGTTAGTTCCCATCTCCTGCAGGAGATGATCAAAGCACTGATCTCAAGGTGTATGGCAGAAGGTCATTAGGAGTCATTTTATTGCTACGTTCCTTTAGCAGAACAATAGTATCAAGTACCATGTATTTAATTAAACCACTGGGTTACAGATGACTTCCCTGCATAAAATTTTCGGTAAAAGTACTGCCTGTTTTACAGAAAGCTTCAAAACTGACTTTCAATCTGCCCTGATAATTCTGGCACATTCCACCTATTAGTTTTTCTTTGTACTTCCCATCTCCTTGAGTGACTGAGGTCAAGAGGTCAACCTGGCAGTATCAGGTTTGATATTCTTATTTTGTAAAGTGGCTTGTTTTTCTTTTACCTTGTAGGGCCTGGATTCCCATCAGAGACTCACAGTGACTGGTGGATCCTGTGAAGGGCAAAGGATGGTGCTCACTGACGTCACTCAGGCGCCTTTCATGCATCTTCCCTGCTGAGAGACTCCTGAGAAACGACTGTCCCTCTCTGAGGAAGGAAACTGCCGGTGATTTACCAAGACAAGAAGTAATCCTCTGTGATCGCAAGATGATTCAGGTTAGTAGCTCTGTGCACTTGCTGTAATTCAAATACTGTGAGAGGTTTCGGTGGTGTGCATATGCATTAAACCTAATCAGTGCCGGTTCTTGTAGTTTCAAGTGTATGATGACATGCTGGAAAGTAGATTGAAGCTTCATTTTTTGCACTGAGTAGGGGAGAAGGAACATTTGAAAATAGTGTACTGAGTGAATAAAAACTATACAAACATATTTGGTATTTGGTTGTGCTTTTCTAAGACACACACACACACACACACACACACACACACACACACACACACACATTGGTTTTTCGAGACAGGGTTTCTCTGTGTAGCCCTGGTTGTCCTGGAACTGGCTCTGTAGAGCAGGCTGGCCTTGAACTCACAGATCTACCTGCTTCTGTTTTCCCAAGTGCTGCATTTAAAGGTGGGTGCCACCACTGCCTGGCCTGATATAAACATATTTTCAAATGATAGGTTTTGTAAGTAATATGTAGAGTTTGTTTGAAATAGCATGCGTTTGAAAGTGCAGTAAAGGCTACCTATTCTAAGTAAGTCTTGCCATTGTTCCGATCACCTTGTGTTTTTACTCCAGAATTACAGCTGGATACTTCCAATATCTTGGAAATTTAAAGCAAATTTGCTGCTGCCTTTTTATTAGATACTGTGTCTTCTGTGGGATTTGTAATATTTGTGTTTATTGCTAGTTGAAGATACGTGGCAGTTATATACATAGGGTGTATCTCAGTGGACAAGGAATAGTACACACAAAGACAGTATCAGGGGACCTGAGTCTCCACTCTGCTCTCCTCCGAGGGCTTTCTGGGCCTCAGGCACAGTATTTACAGCTTCAACCTCAGGCCTCCTTGCTTAGAGTAAAAAGTATTGCTGACTGGTTAGCAGAATCAAAGAAACAGCCATTTATTCATTTGCTCCATAATGATTCAGTGATGTTCTGTGTTCAGCACTGTCTGAGGCAATGTAGTTGGTGTATGTATTATGTATGTTTCATATATTTATTATGTATGTGCATCACATATATCTCCTGTCCCAGTGCCCACATTCTAAGTTTATACTCAAGTTGGATACATATACAGTTGGAAGTTAAAAATCCTTCAAGAGTGTCTTTTGCCTCTGGGATAGAGCTTACATTCCTCACTCACTGTCAAAACCCTCCATGATGTGGCTCCTACATCTGCTATGGTCTGGACAGGACATGAGTGTGTCTGCTGAAGCTTCACAGGCTGGAGCTTGGTCCAAGTGTGGCTATGCCGAGAGATACTATAGGAAAACTGGTCCAACCTTGGCAAGGATAGAGGTTCCAATCTGCTTTTTTTTTTTCCTTGTAATTCATGGAGGGAAAATGATAAATTTTAGCCAGCAAGCCAGGGTTGTCATAAATGCCAAGCGTGATTGGAGAAAGAAGTGTTCTTGGGGATAAACTAAGCCTTCCCAGAGTTCCTTAGACCGCTGTTGGTGAAGGGCAGTGTCAGCCACCTTGATGACCCAGCAGGGAGACCATGTCCCTGGGAGCATTTTCAGCTCTTCTGAGTACTTTTACCCAGTGACCTTCAGAAAGTGTTATACCTGGGTAAAAGAAAACAAACCTTCCCTTTTGTTTTCTTTATGGTTACATTGCTGTGGTATGGTCTGTATGTCAAATGTGTTGCTGATTGGTCAACAAATAAATCACTGATTGGCCCGTGGCCAGGCAGGAAGTATAGGTGGGACAAGGAGGAGAATAGAGCTGGGAAGTGGAAGGCTGAGTCAGGGAGACACTGCCAGCCGCCATGATGAGAAACAACATGTGAAGATGCCGGTAAGCCACGAGCCATGTGGCAAGGTATAGATTAATAGAAATGGATTAATTTAAGCTGTAAGAACAGTTAGCAAGAAGCCTGCCACGGCCATACAGTTTGTAACCAATATAAGTCTCTGTGTTTACTTGGTCGGGTCTGAGTGGCTGTGGGACTGGCGGGTGTCAGAGATTTGTCCTGACTGTGGGCCAGTCAGGAAAACTCAAGCTACATTACATCATATACCCAGAGTTTGCCTTTGAAATTGTGGCTGTTGTTGGTTCTTTTTCTCAGCCCAGAAGTTTGACATTCCAAAAATTACCCACGGTGGGGACGGATAGGAGCACTGACCTACAGAGGGACGCAAGGGAGCTTTGGAGTGAGGAGTATGCCCATTATCTTAATTGACTGCGTAGTTTTCTCCATGGCTACATATATCAAGACTTAATGGATTAGGTACTGTGGTAGTTTGAATAAAAATGGCCCCCATAGGCTCATAAGGAGTGGCACTATTAGGAGGTATAGCCTTGTTAGAGGAAATGTGTCACTAGGGGTGGGCTTTGAGGTCTCAGATGCTCAAGCCACATCCAGTGTGGCATTCTCTTCCTCCTGCCTACCAATCCAGATGCAGAGCTCTCAGCTCCTTCTCCAGCACCATGTCTGCCTGCACACGGCCATGCTTGTTGCCATGATGGTAATGGATTAAACCTCTGAAACTATAAGGCAGCCTGAATTAAATGTTTTCCTTTATAAGAATTGCTATGGTCATGGTGTCTCTTCACAGCAATAGAAACCCTAACTAAGATTGGTTCTTTTATTATGTGCAGGCTGTTGCCTGTCAGCCATGCCTAGATAGACTGTTCTAAAATTCAAAAATTAAAAAGAAATATCACTGAATTGTCAAGTTTCATTACTCATTTCCTTATTAAATATGTTTTAGGATGTGCTGTGTAGGTCAGTGGTAGGGTACAAGTGAGTAGGAGTGAGAATGGATGACAGTGCCTAGTATAAGTGAGACCCTGAATTCTATCCTCATGACCAACACACACACACACACACACACACACACACACACACACACACACAGCACACACGGGGGGGGGGGGGTGAGACTGAAGGACTTAGGATTGTACCATCTCAAAACAAGTCAAATTGATATGTTGTCTGTTTCACACTGAAGTCACTGTAACTTCAGAAAGGCCCATTTGGCTGTATTTTCCTACATGCAGCAAGACACAAAGTTGTTCTGGAAGGGATGTCCTCTGCCTACCAAGGCTGGACAGTAGCCTTGTCACCACAGACGCATGACTGGTGCTCTAACAAATCTGTGTAAACAAAGTTTTGGTTTTTTGTTTTTGTTTTTGTTTTTTTTTTTTGAGACAGTTTCTCTGTGTAGCTTTAGTGCCTGTCCTGGAACTCGCTCTGTAGCCCAGGCTGGCCTCGAACTCACAGAGATCCGCCTGGCTCTGCCTTCCAAGTGCTGGGATTAAAGTCGTGTGCCACCACTGCCTGACTCATAAACCAAAGATTTTGAAGGAACCCTTACCTTCCACAAGCACCCTCCCATCCCCACACATATCTCTCTGTAACAGCCCTGGACATGACTCCCCTGGTCCATTGTTTCATTGGCCTTTGCATTCCTCCGCATGTTTATGGCTCTTTGTCCAAAAACATCATGGGCTTTTCCGTGAAGATCCCTTCATATGTGCAAAATTAATGAAATTTTCCTTGCAGAGTCATGGGAAAGAGATCCAGCAAATCACATGCTGCTTGAAGATTTTCTGCTCAGAAGTAATCCTCATCTTTTCTGATCTTGATTGACACCCACAGACAGTCACATGGCTCTGCCTGGCTGGAGAAGGTGAAGTGTTTAATCACACCCGCAGAAGAGATAATCCAAACACTTGTGATTTCTTAATGAGGACCCCGCTGCTAGGAGCAGGAATTGCTAATGTCCTGGTGGCTGGTCCCCAGCCAGGCACCTGCTCTATTAATTTCCCAGTATTTCTTCTCCTCTCTTTCACGCTCTGAGGAATAAAGGCTGCAAATGAAAGAAAGCAAAAACTCAAAAGCATTGGTGTCAGAAGTCCATGGATTAAGGACGGCTGATGGTGATAAGATCAGAAACCCAACAAGCTTAAATTGAGGAGGCTTCCACTTGTCCCTGAGAGGGTTCGGATTAGTTTCTGGGACTCAGAGATCAGAATTGGACTTTTGGCTACCCCCACTCTCTCCTCCCCTCTGTCATCTCTGCTTGCCTTCCCTGACCTCATTCCCTCTACTGGAGACAGGTCTTTTCCATATGGCAGGAAAGATGGAGCCAACAGCTTGACCTTTTCATCTTTCCAACTCTGACATCAAGCAAAGCCACTTCCTGTTTAGCGCCACACTGAGATGCCTGCAGAAGGACCCATCTCAGCCTGGCTCGCCTGCTCACCCTGGCCCAGGGACTGTATCCAGGGATGTGAGTCACATGCGCAGCTACAGCTACATCCAAATTCCATCCCAAGCAGTGCAAGAGTTCTCAGAAGGGCTTGACATACCGAAACAGTAGCTACTCTACAAAAAGTTAGATATATATAGAATGATGTTTCAGAGTAGGCAATGCTGTCTTATTACCCTCCCACCTCACCAACCCCAAACCACTTCCCACTGCATTTAGAAGAAAATCTGGATTAGTTCTGAGTTTCATCACATAGCTTCTTATGAACTCTCCCTTCCTTCCCCTTCTCTCCAGACTCACCAACGAGTAGCACGTGGACCTTTGCTCTCCACACATGTTTCAGCCTAGAGGACACTTAAACTAGGTGTCTGCCTGACAGTCGCTTACTTTCTTGTCATGAGTACCCCCTTCTTCCCTCTTTCCTTCTCTCCCTCCCCTCTCTTACACACACACACACACACAAACACACACACACACACACACACACACACATGCGCACGGGCATGCACACGCACACACACACAAAAAAAACGACCACCAAACAACAACAAAACCAACAATAGCAAACAACTATAAAGTTGTCACCACAATCAAGACATGAAATATTTCCATCACTTTGGGAACTTTTCTTACCTCCCAGTTCTCTCTCTAACCCACACCCTGGCAAATACTGATCTCACTTGTTTAGTCTTATCCTGCTATACTTTTATAATTATAAAACATTTATAAAATGTTCGTTGGTTTTTTTATCTGCATGTATGTCTGTGTAAGGATGTCAGATCCCCTAGAACTGGAGTTACAGATAGGTGTGAGATGCCATGTGGGTGCTGGGAATTGAACCCAGGTCCTCTGGAAGAGCAGCCAGTGCTCTTAACCACTGAGCCATCTCTCCAGCCCCTAGAAAACATGTTTTTACATATTCAGAGTTTTAAAAACAAAACCCAAAACAGGAAAGGTAACAGAATTTTCCCAAGTTCCAGCCCTGAGAAAATTCCTCCCAGAGTCCTGGGGCAGACACTACATCCAGCATGGGGTTATCTGAGGGAAAGGAATCTATATAAACCATGCCTTTTCTCCTTTTATTTCTCTAAGATAAAACTATCTACCTAGCTTCAGTTCTGTCCTGACATTCAGATCCTCTCTGTACCTACTTTTCTGTTCTATATAGTCCCAGTAATAACTAAGCCCTTATGCTTTTGACCTCATCTTCATCCTCTGTTCCTTCGTCCTCCATCTCTCCTTCATAGCTCCTTACTCCTGGCTCTCAGAAAACTCTACAAGAGATTTGCCTTATCCTCTACAGAATCTCTGTCTTCCTCCATTCTCTCTGACCACAGGGCTCTATCTCCCAGGAATCCTGCTCCACCTTTCCCTCCACCTGGATATGCAAAAACCTCCTTTGTTCTCAGTCAATTGCTCTGGAATGCCTCCTAGGCCTGAAGGCAAGGGATGGTCTCTCCTATTCTGTTCCCGCTAGTCCTTCAATGCTTTGTATGGGGCTGGTCCTAGCTAATGGAGCAATTTGCAAAAGGCAGATACACAATTCAAATGATAAAAAGGGAGCAGGGAGCTCAGAGGCAGAAGGCCTTGTCTATGTGATCTTATCCAAGTACTGGCCTGATTAGGATGCTCCCACATACACGTTCTATGGGAATTACGAGCACAAGAAATTCATAGCCAGGAGCAGCTGAATATTAAAGCTAAATAACACCAAACATTCCGTGATAAATGGCTTCCCATTGGAAGGACCCTTGGTCAGTCAAGGTATAGCTTATTATATACAGCTGGACTCCCTATATCATATTCTTGTGGCTCACCACAGAAAGGAACTCTGGAGCATAAGCAGGACATGGGTGATGGGTGGAAGCCAGATCCAGCTTTTCTGGAATCAGAAAGGGAAAAAGTCACATGTGACAGGGCTTGTGAGAAAGTGGGAAGTATTAAAAATAGCAAGCAGCAGTGTTGTGGTTATACAGCTTCTGAAACCTAAGGTTGGGACATGGGTCACTGAGGAGGGCAGGTGGGGTTTGTGGTCAAGGGAAGAGATAACAACAGTGTCAAACATCTATGACTCTCTTCTGGGCTTTCATCACCTCCATCCCACAGAGTCAGCTACTTCTCTTGGTGTTTCTATCATTTGTGTCTAGACTGCCCCTAAAGTCACGTGCTTGGGTGCTCCCCATGGCAAAAGAAGGAGGTGGAAACTTTAGGAGGTGGGTCCTGGTTGGAGAAGTTGGGCCAGTGGGGGTGTCCCTGTGAAGCATATGCTTTATCCCAATCCCTTCCTCGACCTCTTTCCCTTGGCTTCCTGGCTGCCATGTGGTGAATGGCTCTGTTTAACCATATGTCCCCAGCCATGATGTTCTCGACTCATGAGCCCACAGTAACCGGGCCAAGTGTCTATGGCAGTGTGAGCCAAAGTCAACTTTTATTCCTTTTCAGCTGGTTGCATTATTTATCTTGTCACAGTGAAGTTAATTCATCCATTGAATTTTGCTTGGTTTTGCCATCGTATTTGTTATTTTGTCATTATTACTCATGGTTGATTTTGTTACTTTCTACAGGGGTGATGTTGTTTTATAGATGCTTAACTACTAACACTAGCTGTTAGTATCCCTGAACACTCCTTTCTTGAAGTGTAAAACAATCATTTCTAAATGTTCTGTCTTTTAAAAAGGAGCAATTTAATACTCTGGTTTCCCTTCAGATTGCATAAAAAGAAGCAATTTGCCTGTCTTAGGGAAGATGAACTGCAGGAAACACAATGGGACTGGATGGAAGAATATCTTAAGGCTAACTAGAATGCACTTGAAATTCCAGGTTAGAAACTGAACAACTTCAGGGCGGGCCAATACTGTGAAGTGACAGTTGTCTTGGCATAAAGTGGCCCTGAGGCAATGGTCCAGACCCCACAGAGAAGCTAGAACTAGGTCACAGAGTAGGCTGTCCCTTCTTCCTGCTCTTTTACCTCGGTCCCTATGAAACACCACAGTCTCTCATGCTGTTTAAACCCTACAGCTACATTTATTTTGCAGAACAGTTTTTCTCTTGTTTCATTTACATGTGCGCAGTTCAAACTGGACTCCAAAAATCCAGAAGCCACCTGTGCTCATGGGATTCTCCTGGTCCATTGGCTCCAATTCTCAAGGCTGAGCCAGCTCCACCTAGGATCTTGTTTTCTGTTGGGCTAGGTTTCACCCTGGCTCCAGTCAGCATAGCAGAGAAGATTACCAGTGATGGCAGCACTACTCTGCTTTCTTCTACAGAACCTGCAGTCACAAGGGTCGCCGAAATAACAGGGGTGAACAGGGGTACTCCAGAATGCTGTGGATATCGCTCTGTATAAATAAAATGCTGATTGGCCAGTAGCCAGGCAGGAAGTATAGGCAGGACAAGCAGAGAAGAGAATTCTGGGAAGTGGAAGGCTGAGTCAGAGAGATGCTGCCAGCCGCCGCCATGAGAAGATGTTAAATATGGGTAAGCCATGAGCCACGGGGCAACTTATAGATCAATAGAAATGGGTTGATTTAAGATATAAGAACAGTTAGCAAGAAGCCTGCCACGGCCATACAGTTTGTAAGCAATGTAAGTCTCTGTGTGTTTAGTTGGTTGGGTCTGAGCAGCTGCGGGACTGGTGAGTGAGAGAGATTTGTCCTGACCGTGGGCCAGGCAGGACCAGGAAAACTCCAGCTACACCGGAAAGACTTTCTTTGTTTCAGGGACTTTCTTGAAGTGGTAATCCCTGGCCTAACAATTCTCCCAAATACTTTGTGCAGAACATTATTCTCTTGGACGCTAAGAAACAAAGGAAAAATAGCATAGGTCTGATGGTTTTGAGAAATGGATGATTTCACAAACCAATTGGGACTCTTTTCTGAAGCCCATAGCATGCTAGTGAGCCTTTACATTTCAATGGGGAGATACAGACATGGAGATTTGGCTACTGACCCTTTTGATCTGGAATATTTTGCAGGTCTGGAATTTGGTGTCACACAAGACAGGAAGCTTGGCTAAGCACATTTCCACATTCTGTGCTTCCCCTAGAATTCACTGCTGGTTTGCCTCTCTAGCTCTAATCAGCTACCAAACCCAGGAGGAATTTGCTTATTCGGCGTACATAAAATTCTGATAGAAATTAATACAGGAAACTCAAACCCACAGAATTTCAAAAGTGTCACATTCACAATCAATAATTGACTCTACAGCATTTAAACCCTGTGTGCGATACGATAAAACCAAAATGGATTCACCCTGCTCACTCATCTAAAGACAGCAGTCTCCAAGGTTACTTGTTTTCGGTAGAAGCCAGGCAATTTGGGAAAGAGCTCAAAGAAAGGTCTCCAAGGGATGCTATTTGGAACTAGACAATCTGCACTTAAATTGGAACCTTTTTTTTAAACGTTGGTCTTTCATCTTTTACCATTTAAAAAAAAATTCTTCCCTCATACATTACATCCTGACCACAGTTTCCCCTCCCCCCACTCCTCCTCCATTTCCCTTTAAAAAAAAAAAAAGAGCAGGCCTCCCAGGGATAGCAACCAAGCGTGGCATAACAAGTTACAATGAGACTAGGCACACACCCTCATATCCAGGCTGGACAAGGCAACCCAGTAGGAGGAAAGGGGTCCCAAGTGCAGACAAAAGAGTCAAAAATAGCCCCTACTCCCACAAGAACAGCAACCTAATAGCCATAATGTGTATGCTGGGGACTCATACATAGGCCAGACCCAACCAGGGTCCCTGATTGTCGGTCCATTCTCTGAGCCCTGCTTAGTTGATTCTGTAGGCCGTGTTCTTGTGGTGGAATTGAAGCCAATCTTAAAAATGCACATTGGGAGAAATCCAGTCTGTGTCATTGGCCACTTCAACTGCTTTATTGTACTTGTTAGTGTCATTTGTCCTAAGGTTCTCCAACATAGATGGCCCGGTTGATTCCCTAAAAGGGGTATGTCATTCAAGCAAACAAGTTGCAGAGATGGAGATTTTGACTTAAAAAACAAGTAAGCAGGGGCTGGGGAGAGGGCTCAGTGGGTAAAGTCCATGCTGTACAGGCAAGCAGAAGAATAGGAGTTCAGGCCCTCGGCACCCATGTAAGTGCTAGTGTGTGTGTGTGTGTGTATGTGTGTGTGTGTGTGTGTGTGTGTGTGTGTGAGTGGGTATGCTTATAAGCCAGCTTGAGATGAGGGATCTGTAGAGCAAGCTGGCTAACTAGACTAGCCAGGTCAGCAAGCTCTGGGTTTAGTGAGAGATCCTGCCTCAAAATATAAGATGGGAAGTTATCAAACAAGACACCCAGAGTCAACCTCTGGCTTCTACACCTGCTCACACACACAAACATGCATATATATAAGCACACACACCACACATAATACACATGCACATGTAAACAAAGAAATGAATGAACAGAAGAAAATGATGAATTATTTTGAGGTTCCTCCTGTGTGGAGAGCTGAGTCCTTGTATAGCTACAGAGATAGACCTGAGTTGGGTAGTAAGGGAATGACAAAATGTGGACAGACACACAGACAGAAATAGCTGGGGTCAGGTGGCCCTGGGCTCTTGGATGGAGAAACCACAGCATCCTGGAAGCTTGGTGTGCTTACTATATGGTGTTGAACATGGAGGCAGAGTTATTGCCTACAGGTTAACAAGTGTTTGTGGAGGAGGCAGGTTTAGCTGACCTCCGTAGAAGTCTTTGTAGAGAAGCAGTGTTCAGGCTGTAAATATCCATGAGGAGGAAACTATGATGGACATTTTCTGCACACACTGTCAACATCCACACATGGACTCAAGGAAGGCTTTGCTATTTCCCTCTGAGCCTCATCCAGGCTTGGGGGCAGTGGGGAGGCTTTGCCATTTTCTTCTGGGTCTTAGGTCCTTGATATGGACCTGATCGTGTCAAATTACACACATTCACTAAGAACTCTACTCATTCAAGGCTTCCTACAATGGAAGGGTAAAGCCATTATAAATACTTTGTCAACCCCAATTGACAGTGATATAGAAGCTGGATCCGCTTGGGGACAATTTCATTAGATTTACCCTGTGGCAAGAGTTTGCTTGAATCTTCCTAAGGACTCTGTGCAGATCGCCAGAGACTAAGGCTGCCTCATAACTGCAGAAGGATAAGGGCTTCATTTGGTGATGATTAGGGGGATCATTGCTTCAAGGAAGAATCCGTAGTGCATACTGAAACTGGTGGGTGAGCATATGAGAAGCAGAATACTCACATAATTCAAAATTCTCTCCAGAGATCTCTGTATGCGTGTGCGTGGATGGGTGTGAGAGTGCAGACTCACAAGGGCTACAGCACACATGTGGCAGTCGGAAGGTAGCCTGGGTATCAGTCCTTGCCTTTTACCTTGTTTGTCTTCATGCTGTAGCTCAGGCTAGTTGGTCAGCCCATGAACCGCCCAGGGATTCTCCTGTCTTCACCCGCCCCCATCTCTCCATACGAGCCCCAGGTAACAGACATGTGCTACTATGATAGCTTCACATGGTTTCTTGGGATTCAAACACAGGTCCTCAAACTTGCTCAGTAAGTGATTGGCCCACTGAGGTATCTTCCCTAACCCTACAGGGTACTTTGAATTTATTTATTATGTATGTATTATGTATTTGTTTGTTTTCTGAGTTTATATTTGGTCTGCATGTATGTCTGTGCACAGCATGTGAGCCTGCAGAGGCCAGAAGAGGACATTCTGTCTCCTGGCACTGGAGTCACAGACAGTTGTGAGCTGCCCTATGGGTGCTGGGAATTGAATCTGGGTCCCCTGGAAGAGCAGCCAGTGCTCTTAACCACTGAGCCATCTCTCTAGCCCACAGGGTACTTTTAAAATACAAAAGTGGCATTTCTTTTTACAAAGAAGTAACATGGCAGATACCCAAGTATTTCTTATTTCCCAATGTAGAGGTGGCAGTGGGCCCAGACTATCTATACTCAGGGATGATATATTCTCTAGTCACACTGCTATGTGCATGACTATAGATATTGGGTTCCCACACTCCCCAGGTTGACAATTCCTCCCCCACCAAAGCCAGTGCTACTTTTATGGACTTTTCTCAGTTGTGAGGACCTTCTGTGTCCCCAGTGCTGAGGATTCAGCATTAAGTGAGACAAACCTCTGCTCTCCAGGTAGTGAGGGAGGCCTGTCCAAACAACCATTACAGACCTGTGTGGAGCACACAATAGACACAAGAAATCTAAGAGGCACCCACAGGGCCAAATGGTCTTCTAAGTTATTGAAAATATTTTCATATTGATTGATAAAAGCCACTCTCTGAACCCCTACCCATTTCTCTTAGATATTCCTCAATTTCATACAATTAAAAGAGCAGGTGCCCAGTAGCAAGGATCTGGCTGCTGCTCTTGTATTTTTCTCATCTTTTCCACTGGCCCTTATCCTTCTTGGAGGAGGGGATGCCTGTGCAAGGAGAGGTTCAGGATCTGCTCTGCTCTGGTTTGACCTGGAATGTGTGACATCTGGGAGGCTTTGGGCTGTTGGTTATTACAGATTAAGAGAGAGAGAGAAATTAACCTTAAGAGAGGAGTTGAGGTCAGATCAGGGATGGCACTTGCAAGGTCTCCTGAGCCAGATGAGCTTAAATGGGCCACTATAAAGACCTTTGAAGGCGCCCAAGCTGGGAAGCAACATAATTGGATGAACATTTCAACTAAGTAGATTAAAGTGCTTATCATACCAAAACAAACAAACAAATAAATAAATTGAAGTGCCAGATAATCTGTTTGAAGGCTGTTGAAACAGCTCAGGTCAAGAGCTATTTACTCAAAAAGAAGAATCAAAGAACCTAGAGAAATTATTGGAATCTGAGGACATTAAAAGGGTAGAATTCAGGAAGTGTCCCCACCCTACTGTGTGTGTGTGTGTGTGTGTGTGTGTGTGTGTGTGTGTGTGTGTGTGTGTGTGTTTCTAGGCCAGAGGTCATCCTCAGGTGCTATCCTTGCCAATCAGGCCAGGCTGCTGGGCTAGCAAGCCCCAAGGATTCAACCATCTCCATCTAAGTACTTTACCAAGTGAGTCATCTCCCCAACCTCACATGGCTTCTTGTTTGGAGTGATAACTTCCTGCTACAAAATTTAAAAATCTACCTAGCATTAGATAGAATTTCATTGAAATGAAACCATTTGGTACTAATGTAGGCCATGCTTCCAAAATGAAGAATTGATCCTGTGCAGAAACTTACTATGATTAACCTATCCCCAAACCATTGGTTTCTGAAAGTGGGTAGATGAACACTATGCACTTATTAACGTGATGGTGATGATATTGAGGCTCTGGTGAAGGTTTCATGGCAGCTATAAGAAAGTATAAGGACAAGCATAACTTTTGCAGTTGTAGTTTCCAATATCAGGAAGTCTATGCCCCCCACCCCACCCCCCCCACTTATCTATGTCTGGTTCATTCTCTTACCTGCCTGCCTTGTGTTGGCCTGCTTTCCCTAGGATGGATCCTGAAGCTGCCCAGCTGGAGAAGCAGCATGTGCATGATGTGTATGAGAGCACAGCCCCCTACTTCAGTGACCTGCAGAACAAAGCTTGGCCACGAGTCCGCCAATTCCTTCAGGACCAGAAGCCAGGCAGCCTCATTGCTGACATTGGTAACCCAGACTTTTGTTTTTTCCATGCGTAGTCTGCTGCATATCCAGTTGTACCTATCCTTTTCATTCACATCTCAGTTTCATTCTAACAAGAAATGCAATGTTGTATTAGCAGCATGCTAGTCTCTAGAATATTCACTTTATAGTGAAAGTTCCTATCATCAAAGTCATCTAGCAGGAAATATCTCCCAACCTATATTCAGAGAAAGCTTCCATTCTAGCTTTCATGTGCATCCTCCATCAAAATCAACCATCACAGATGGAATAAATAAGGATGGAAATGATGTGACATTAGTGGTTTCCAATGTAGAGACTTCCACATTTGTAAGATGTGTTTTGTATACTTGGCTCATCTTGAGACATTCCATCTACGTCTATGAAAGAGTCAGACTCATGAGATCATGAATGAAGTCTTATACCCTTTCTTTATTCTGATGGGTCCCTCCCCTTATTTTGTAGGCATTGAATTGTTAGGGCATATCTTTAATTGGGTAGCACTTCCATAAACACTGATGTATCTGGAGGGCTTCAGCTCAGCATCTTTCTGAATTGAGAAGTGGTAAACCACAACTTAAAGACCAAGATTGAAGGTGTGGTTGGATCTCTACTTCCCACTAACTCTCCTCTCCAGGAATCACAAGTTTGCTGTGCCCAGAAGAATCACAAGTCTCTAGTTACTCATTCTACATTGACATCTCCCTTAATAATGATGGGAGAAACTGCTGTGTGTGCAGAGTTTGACAGAGGAAATAAGCAGTTTAGAGTCTGGGAAGAGGTTTGTACCATGCTGAAATCAGGAGTCTGAAAAAAAAAAGATCTCTAGCATGTCAGTTTTTAAAAATAAATACAATGTCTTGGGCTTAGGGATGTGGTTGAGGGGTAGCACTCATGCTCTCCATATTTAGAGCCCTGGGTTCAAATCCCAGTACCACAAAAGGGGGAAAGGTATCTGGTTTCAGAGGATGAAGTGAGTTCAGGGCTCCTAATGTCCACTGTCCATGCAAAGTGCAAGACTTTGATACGGGTCGGGAGGAAAGGCGTGATTCAATTAGGAGGCTTGAGATAGCTTTATAATAAGATGGTGCTGTTATTACATCTTACCTAAAAATAAATTCAAAAATGAAGCAAAGGTTTAAGTGTAAAAAAATGAAATTATTGAAGGAGAGTGAAATTGTTTTTAAAGCAGTCCTGAGACAAAAGGCCTCTCTATGTCTTCAGACTTCTTTTGTCCATGCTTTAAAAGAAAAAAGCTATAAAAGAAATGAATTGGTTGTCATGATTTGTAGTGTGTTCTAAATGTATGGTAAACACTGGATTGATAAACACCAACTCACTGTCCTGAGAAAACATCTATAAAGGTTCAGATACATATTGAGCACACATTTTTGTCAGTTTACCATGTTTCTTTGTATTTCTGTTTAAGGATGTCTTGTTCACTGTATATTTCTGGTTTGTTAACATCAAACTCTCAGTTAATGCATTATACTCATGCTTGAACAATGCATTGTCTCATGTATTCTGCCCACAGACACTGTAGCTATCTGTGAACTATCAGTGAACACAGAATGCTTCAGGGAGGAGGGGTGCATTTTAAAAAAGCCAAAACACACACAGAGTGCAAACACTTAGGTATGAACTAAATTGTGAGAAAGTCACATAGAAACTAGCTAGTCAAGAGCAGAGAAGAATTTATTTATTTGGGCTTTATTAGGATAGCAGTGTGGGAGACACCAAATTGTGGTAGCTGTGAGGGTGTGCTCTTAGGTCTTACAAAAGTATCATTGGTGTAACTAAATCTGTGAGGAGGCTGCCAATTATACCCCTGTTGGCCAGGAATTGCGGCTGATGTAGTAAGAGTTTACAAGAAAGGAATTAGCCACAGTCTGTCTCTGGGTAGTTTAGTGGGAGAGAGGAAGGTGTGGTTTCACAGATGTTTAGAAAGCTGGTAGGATTCCTCCCAGAAAATTGCACTTGGCACCAGATCATGAGGTCCACATGAACCTGGGTGGGTACCGGAGAGTTCGGTTCAAAAGTTCACCTGTCATAAGCCTGATATATGAATGGTTCAGCAGGGCCTGGCAACTCATTTTAAGTGTCTAGAACCAATGACTCCACTTTGATTTTCTTCACTGACAACAATGTGAGAATGACAACAACTCAGACTTTTTTGTTGCCTGATAGTGTACATGCCTGGATGACCATGCAAATGGTGTAAAGGCCGATTTTAGGGCTATGAATAAAGTTTAGCGGATAGATGATCAGCAAATATGGAATCCATCAATAATGCACAAAGACTGTATTAATAACTTCGATCCCTTAAAATTAAAAAAGTTTTAACATGAAAATCTAGGTGACTATATAAAGTCTAAAGATCAAAAAGCAAACTAAGTAATAAATCTGCACTACTTCTAATAGAAAACCACACGTACAGTGAATGTGTGCTAGTGACAATTCAAAAACAAATTGTTGGGATGCTAAAGGAATATGCTAATGTGACTCTCACTGTGACCCTGTCCACAGCCAGAATATGGAAGAAAAAAAAATTCTTACTCTACAGAACACTTTTCAAACTTAGTATAAAAGCCTCAAATCCTATCCTTTGTGACATCTGTGAACACAGAATATGTTCTGCTGAATGAAATAAGCCAGACAAAGAAAGACAGAGGCTACATGATCTCAATTAGATGTGAGACCTAAAAACGTTGACTTCACAGAAACAGAGTGTGGAGAAGTGATTACCAGGGGTTGGAGCAGAGAGAGGCTGGGAAAATGAAGCAAATGGTGAGGTGTTGGTTAAGTGATGCCCAGGTTCAATTAGACAAGAGAAATAAACCCAAAATAAAAAAGAAGAAAACTACCAACAGGCCCAAAGACAAATGGTGAAAGGTTATGAACAAATGATTGCATGGAGTTGGAGAATTAAGGTGTGCCTTAAAAATACTCCGGAAGTAATCTACATTCTTGGGTTCAGTTTCAAGAACACCCAGTGAAAGAAACTATTCTAGCATATCCAGTCTCTGGGCACCAAGTCATCCACACTAGAGGTGATGCTTCCTGCCAGCTTATTCTGCAATCTTGAACTATTTTGTTTGACTATAAGAACCTTTTGCCTCTGGGTATGTGTACGGCTGGATTTCCCCTTCTTGATTCCGCAGATGGTTGTACAGTATACAATCATACATCAATCCTTTGTCACTTTCAATATACTACATATTCACCTATATGAATATGTTGCCCAAAATTAAAAGCTGCATAGTATCCAGGCTAATGGTACCACATTAACAATCTTTTCCCTGTATTTTTGGTACCATAAATTATAGGATGAATGGTAGTCTCTGAGTCCCTCTGTACAAATCACTCACTACATCAATAGGAAATACGTGTTTGCCCATTTGAATTATTTGAATTGTATGTGATTTTTGTATTTAAACAAATCAGTAAACAGCAATGCTTTGATTGGAAAAGGAAGGGTATATTTTAAAGTAAAATTGAATTAAAGAAGAAATGATGTTGTTCTGACTGGGAAAGTTCTATTTCACTGTGCTGGATTTAGCTGATAAATGGGAAGGCTGGTCGGAGAGGGAAGAGCTGTTAGTAATAAGGCAGAAAATTGAAAGATGGGCACTTTCTCCAGAACCAGGCCTCTCAGCTAGGGGTTGTAGGCATGAGGCTTTTACAGGAATGCCAAAGAAGCCTTATCAGCAAGACAGGCACTGAGACTGCTATAATTTTCGGGTGGTCTGTTTTTTCTAATACATAGTCTGCTGTTTTCTGTAGATCATTGAGTGCACTGGGCTCTGTAAATATAAATAGAAGTTTTTAATTAGAAAGTCATGTCTCATCTTCTATTTCAGTTGTTTTTCCCTCCTGGGAATAGCTAATTCTGCAGCTAATTGTTAGGATAATATGGGCAAAGTGTATGGTGTATCTGAATGATAACCATACACTTTGCATGATATATCCTAATAAAAATTAAAATCAAGTTGCTGGGATATAGAAAGCATGTCTCTCCCCCACCTCCTCCTCCCTCCCCCCCCTCTCTCTTTCTCTCTCTACACACACACACACACACACACACACACACACACACACACACACACACACACCACAAGAAAAAGAAAAAAGAAAATGGTCACATTTGCCTCAGCATGGAAGAAGACAGAGAAAAACTGCCTTCACATCCCTTGTTTTATATGGTCCAGAGATATGATCTATGATCGCTGTGCTCATGGCTTAAATGGATGAGCTTATTAGGTCTGGAGCAAGCAAAAGTACAAGAACAAATAGCTAGACAGAAGAGGCAGGTAGATAGCAAAACATCGTCAAATCAGTTTAGAACGTCCAGCAGAGACCATCATCAAATCATGTTTATAACATCCAGCAGAGGGGTTGGGGTGGAAGAACATCTCACTATATAGCCCAGATGGTGTGAAGCGGCCATCCTCCTGTCTCAGCTGAGATTACAGGTGTCTACTCCCATACCAAGCAGGAAGCCTGAAGGACAGAGATTAAGGAAATACAGAGGATAGCATAAATGACCAGAGTTTCAATGGTTCAACAGCAGAAACACTAGGACTTATCCAGGAAGCATGGCAAGAGACCTTACCCAGAATCGGCTAGTCCATTTTACGTCTATTGCAAGCAGCATTGAGGGCAGTGTGTGGATTGAAGTCGTTACCCAGATCTGTTCATAAAGTAAGGGAAAGATCAGAGCTGGATTCTTTTTCAGCAAGATTCTGCTCATAAATAATTCCAGAAATACCTGCCCTAATAGCACTGAAAATGGTATTTTTGTGAACATAAAAACACAAATAAATTCTTAAACAATTAAGACTCCTCCTGACTTTTGTCTGTCAGGGTTCCCAGTTTTGATGCTTGTCTTTCATTGGCATTAATGCTTTAATGGCCTTTCTTGCATTCGATTCAATAAAAGTTGAGACCACTATCCCCATATGGCTAGCACTTTGCTTGGCCAATGACAGATCTCCTCAACCCTGGACCCAAGAAATGAATTTAAAATGTGCATGCTATTTGTCTTTTTTAGAAGAAAAACATAGAAAAAGAACTCTTTTAGGTGAGATATTAACAAAGAACTAATTTTTTTCTTTTTTTTTTTTTTGTTTTTTGTTTTTCGAGACAGGGTTTCTCTGTGTAGCTTTGTGCCTTTCCTGGCTGGCCTCGAACTCACAGAGATCCGCCTGCCTCTGCCTCCCGAGTGCTGGGATTAAAGGCGTGCGCCACCACTGCCTGGCAAAAACTAATTTTTTTAAATGTAGTTGTTTCTGATCTGAGAATGTGGGGCCCTGGGTTCAACTCCAAGTACAAAAAGTAGATTATTTTTTCTACAAACTTTAGAAAAAAATAATTTTTGTTGTTTTCAGAAAACATTCACCCATCTTGACCTAAAAGATTCTGATGAATTGGAGCCTTGCTCTGTTGTCTTCTGTAGACACTTTGTGGTACAGAGTACAAAAGTGGGAAGAATGTGAGCATACAGATACCCTCTGGTATCTCTCTTCAGTCCTGGGCACAGTTATCACTAAGGAGATTTTGCAAGGGAGCGTAATTGTTACAGACTGGAGTTTGCCATGCTATCATGAATGTTCAGGCTCCATCTGAGATCCTGGGGAGACCTGGTTTGGTGATGGACTTGACTTCTTGGTTATGTGAACATTCTCCCCTTACCAGCATCTCAGGGGTTGTGCTCTTAGAAATGAGCAATTGCCTCGTGTTTGGAGGTTCTGTTCAAAGTGATGCTGTTCGAAACGAAGACAGGAAGAGTTGAGAATATCAGACCACTGGAACGAAGACGGGAAGAGTTGAGAATATCAGACCACTGGTCACTAAGAGAAAAGACCGGAGCCTCTTCATCACCAATGGTTTTCTGAATAGCCCCCACTATCTTACGTGATTTATGACAATAAATGTTCTTAACGGAATCTTTGAAGAGGTTTTCCCTTTTCTGCCTCTGAATACATTTCGCAAGCCAATAAAGGGAGAAGCGAATTTTCAAGATATTTCTAAAAATGGGGCTGTCATCTTTGACACAGACAGGACTTCAACTTTGAAATGCAATGTGATTTCTCTTTTCCCTGTGACTGTCCTCAAATAGCGGCTACTTTTATTCCTAAGCGTTAGGAGCGGCGGCTGTGAGATCTAAAATGAGAATCTAATCGCAGCCATTTATATTGAAATAATAACACTGGAAAGCATATTTTTTTATTCACTTCTCCTCCACTGTCACAGCTGGCACCAGGGAACCTTCGCTTCATTTTTCTTGTCTTGTCGTTTGGAAAACAGTGTACTGAGGAAGAGTTATTAAAGACTGTCCCAGACTTAATATTCCGAAGCGGCAAAACTTTACATCTGAATGTTGACTGGTATTTTTGTGCTGCAGAAAAATCGCTAAGTAAGAAATGTCAGTAGATACAAAATACAGCTCACCTGGTTTCTTCAAGCACCTCTGGGACGGACCTGGATTATGTATCTGAGACGGAAGATCATGGCAGGAGCCAGGCACAGTGGCGTGCGTCTAGCGTGCCAACTTTTTGGAAGACTGAAATGGGAAAACTCTTTGAACCCAGGAATTCAGTCTGGGCAATACAGTGAGACCCAATCTCAAAAAAGAACTTGATAGCAGGAGCTAGATAATAGAAAGCGGGTTTTTTTTTTTTTTTTCCAAGATAATCTGTCATTGGTGATATTCTCTATCATACTGTAAGATTTGATTGACCTCAGTCTTTGGACTGTGTACTTGGGCCTCTGCTGCTAGGAAAGGAATGTCCAAAATGGCCTGTTTTTTTTAAACTCTTTGTGAGCACTATAGACTGACCTAACAGAAATGCCCTGTACCTAGCATTAACCTGAGAGCGTGTGAAAAGATGCTACTTTCTTTTTCAGTCACGTTCGTATGTTTAAAACCACATTTGTGATTTCTAGACGTTGCAAAGTCATTAGCAGTAGTTTGTTTAACATGGTCAGAAATTGGTAAAAGTCATTGGAGCGGACCTTTGACGCAGTGTGCACAAAACTAAGTGAAATGTGTACATCAACGTAAAGGTACCGACTGCCCACTGTCGGTCTCAGTTTCTGGATGTTGGAGCATCTGTTTCCCAGGGGCAGGCCAGTTCATGTGATTGGATTGTGCTGATGTGTTGTGCCCCATGGGCACTGCCTCAATAAATATTCCAGCTGGGCGGTAGTGGCACAAGCCTTTAATTGCAGCACTCTGGAGTTGGATCTCTGTGAGTTCAAGGCCAGCCTGGTCTACAGAACAAGTTCCAGGACAGGCTCCAAAGCTACACAGAGAAACCCTGTCTCGAAAAATCAAAATAAATGAATAAATAAATAAATGTTCCATACATATTATTTCTTTTTTTCCATACTCTCTCTCTCCTCTCTTCTGTATGAAATTATGTAAGTATTCACTGAATTGTTGTGTCTTGGTCATTTAATATATAAAGTTTCTTTAGTTGTTATAGGACAAATTAACTTGCATTTTTCCAGCAAGGACAGCAGGTAACACAGGTTTTTCTCTTACAGGTTGTGGAACTGGGAAGTATCTTAAAGTGAATAGCCAAGTACATACCCTGGGCTGTGACTACTGTGGGCCTCTGGTAGAGATTGCCCGGAATAGAGGGGGTGAAGTCATGGTATGTGACAACCTTAATCTCCCCTTTAGGGACCAGGGCTTCGATGCTATCATCTCCATAGGAGGTAAGGCAGCCAGGCCACAATCACACTTTGCCATGAAAAACCACTGTCAGGCCAATCATGTAACTCAATGTCCATTCTTTGTAGAGGTCTAGGCAATGCATTTTACCTAATTTTAAAATATATATATTCTAGTGCATGGCTTATTTGACTCTTGACTACATTTATGGCATATATGTTGTTTTATTTGTCTCTTGACTACATTTATGGCATATATGTTGTTTTAATTTTAAGCCTTCAGGCTATTATTATATTGTTTTTGATGATTTGTCCCCCCCCCCTTTTTTTTTACTCTGTACATGAAGAATGTTAGGACTCTTACTCATTGAAAATATGCTTCGCTATATTGAGATCAGGCCAGATTCTCCTGAAATAGAGTAGATTTTTTTTTCAGGTGTCATATTACTGAAAACAACAGGTCACAACAGTGCCCTTTGTTAACAGAAAATTCTAGAACTAATATATTGAACACCCCCTGGACAGGTGTGTCACTCACTGCTATTCAAGTTCCTGGAAAAGACAGGCACTGTCTTGTCCCAGACTTCACTGTTTGATCGTGTCTTTGTGTTCCTAATTCTAGACGTTGTTGAAGATGAATCTATCTTCCCAATAAAGTCAGCACCAGAGCAAACAAAATAACAAGAACAACAAAATCTGTGCCTGAAACACGCACACATATATGAGCTCACTTTACCCAGTACTCTTTACGTCCAGTGTGTTGGTTATCCTCAAATGTGTAGGAAGACCTGTATTAAAGGAATTCTCTAGCCAGGCATGGTGCTATACACTTTTATTCTCAGCATTTGGGAGACATAAGGTGGATCTCTGTGAGTTTGAAGCCAGCCTGGTGTACATAGTGAGTTCTAGGACATCCAAGGCTACATAGTAAGACCTTGTCTCAAAAAAAAAAAAAAAAAAGAAAAGAAAAGAAAAGAAAAAGAAAAAGAAAAAGAAAGGCACTCTCTACTAAGTTCTTTATAGTGCTAAAATCTTTTACAAAGCAGATTACTTGATTCAACACATTTTTTAAATTAACCTGTTGATGGAACAAACTTTACCAAAGCGAGGTGATCTTATGGAAGCTGACTACCATTCATGATAAATATATATATATATATATATATATATATATATATATATATATATATATATATATATATATATATATATATATATATATATATACATATATATATAATAATACAATTTATACTTTCCTGAACTAGATGAGAGATTGCTGGGTATCCTTAGATGGGAACTGTATCTTTGCATAGTGAGAGGATTCAGGCCTGGGTGTCTGTAACCCTGGAAACGGTCAGGAACAGTAAAAGACAGTTGCCATAAGAACCTCCCCTACGCTGTCTTACTTCCTGTTCTTCAAACGATTAGGTGCACTTTGTTGTAAGCATTAGTCTATGCAGGCTGCTATAACAAAATATTTTGGATTCCTGTGTTTTAAAACAATAGACTTTTATTTCTTACATCAGAGAACCAGCCGAGCCAGTTCATTAGGGCTTGCAGATGGCTGCTGCTTTCATCTTTTTTTTTTTTCTTTTCTGATTCCCCGTATGGCAGAGGTAGAGGTTGAATATCAAGCTTGCTGGACTCTTATGATAGTACTAATCCAATCATACAAGACCACATCTGAGCCTAGTGACTTCCCAAAGTGACTTCCTTGTGGACATAGCCTTGGTTGAAGTCACACAGATGTAACAAAGGATTCTTTTTGACCAAAGCAGCACCATGCTGTGCTCTGAATCTTTAGTGGGGAAAGCTTTTTATCTGGTCACCTTCCTAAAGAACTGGAAATTAAATAGAGTTTGGGAGGAGATGGAGATCTTGCTCTCTTTCTGCTCACGTTGGTTTTTAGGGTCCACAGGGCACCTATCCCAGCACCACTCAGCTACTGTGGGGGAGGGGAGGGTGCCGATACCTTTTCCGCCTTTGAGAAATGCTCCGTGTTTCTTCTTGAACTCTTCTTTGTACTCAGCTTAGAGGCTATGCCTTTCCCGTGTAGAAAAATGGAGCATGCCACTCTCTCGTGTGGCCCTTCCAAAGCTTACCTTAGAATTTACCGTGGCACTCCTGAACCTATGAAAGCTAATGGTGGAAATGGGTTAGTTATCACAAGAAAACCCTCTAAACCAGAGGGCTGGGGAGAGATGTGCATACCATTTTCCTAGGAGAGGTGAACCCCAGATAAGGACTCTAGTACAGACCAAAGAAGCATCCCACAGTCGGTCAGTGCGCTTAGTTAGGTTTCAGACAGGAGCATGGGAGAAGAATTACTTATGGACACACTGATGACTCAAAGGAACTTACCACTGAAAAGCGCACTCAACACGGGTGCTATCTCATGAAAAGCTTCACACCGCGCAGGGGAACTCCACATCTGGAGTCTCCTGTCCCTCAGCAATGGCTTACTCTGTATAACCTCAGCGAGGGGCTCATAGTCTGCCTCTCCCTCCAGGAAGAAGTTTTCAATTCAGAGGAAATAGCTGCATAACAATGAGCTTGGCAGGATTTTCCCCCCACCCTCCCTTCATGTCCCCTCTCCATCTCACTCAGTTCTCTGTCATGTGTGTCCTAAGCCATATTAGGACGAAGCCAGAAGGCCCTCATTTATGCTGACCCATTGGTTTTGGGAAAGACCATCCCCTGGAAACATGAGCCAAATCAATTTCTGTTGTTTATAATTTACCTAGTCTTTGGCATCCTGTCATAGTAGCAGAAATGTACTAGCACACCCTGTTACTATCTTTTCATTGAAAATGCTCCCTCGATGGACATGATGTCACATGTCTATAATCCCAGTCCTGTGCAGGCTAACGCGGGAGAATCATGAGTTTGAGGTCAACCTGGAGGACACAGAGAGGTGTTGATAAATAAGCCAAACAAAAATGCCCCTTTAAATGGAAAAACCAAACATGCTTTTAGGAACTGCAGCTATGAGGTAACGTGATAATGTCTCTTTTCAGTCACATTTCACATTTAGAATAACATTCTGAGAAATTTCAAGACTCTTACATTCATATATACTTATTCCCTATTTTGAATTGCATATTTTGGCATTTATTGCTTGCCGTGACGCAAGGACGTATCTTTTTCCCCCCTTATTGTCTTACTTTTTGGAGTCTCTTAATAACAGAGAGACAACTGTCGTACTTGGATATACACCCATCATGCTTCCCTGACAGATTGGGGGGGGGGACACTCCCTGCCTTTAGAGCAGTTCCACAAACAGTCTAGAAGAATCTAGCAACATAAACTGGTGTAAATCAACTACCCACTTTGCACCAGCAGCTCTGAAGTAGCGCTCTATCGCTCCCAGCCCCCACCCTCCAAGGGACACTGAATGACGTCTGGTGACATTTTGGGGGACTCACAGGGGACAGGTGGACATGTGCTCTTGTCACCTAGTGGGTGGCTCCCCCACAACAGGAATGATCTAGCCCCCAAAATCAGCGATATTAGGGTTTTAAAACCTGCGTTCTGCTAAACCCATCAGCTCCGGGAGCCTAGTGAGACCTACGCACTGGCACACTTAAAAGAACAGGAAGTCATAAAAACATAAGACGTGACAGGCTGTTAACGGAAATCCGCTGTCACCATTTGGTTCTGTCATCCAAAAGTTGGGATTCAAGTTATTTTTTAGCCTCTCCACAGGAAAACTGCTCTAAGTACATATACGGAGTGTATATATGGAGTGCGTATACGGAATACTATTTTTGCCTTTAAGCTCTGGTTATGACTCACAAGCAAAAATATTCTTTTAATTTTTAAAATTTCGGCATAGTTTCTCAGCAGTGACATTTCAGACAGATCTTCCTATAGTGACATTCACAGGGCTTCCTGACAGAACATGTATGTGTGTGTGTATATATAGCACGTTTGGCATGTGTGAAGAAAATTTTCCTGCTTAAGCCTCTTTTTCCTCCAAAACATTTGGCTTGGGGTTGGAGAGATGGCTCAGCTGTTTAGAGCACTTGCTACTCTTGCAGAGGACCCAGGTTCAGTTCCCAGAACCCAGGCTGGGCAGGTCACAACTGCCTACTCCAGCACCAGAGGATCCAACACCCTTTTTAGTCTCCATAGGCACCTGGATACACATAGCATTTGCTCGCAGATACATATGCACAAATAAAAATTTTTAAAACATTTATTCTAAAAGCTGTTACCCAGTACCTGTTAAATATAAATTTAAAACATTAAGAGTCACTTTTCTGCATCAGATTATAATTAAAAATAAATTATTCTGTATTTATCAATAAATGACTGAAAACTTTGTTTCGTATAGAATGCAGCACCCTTTGAAACCTGGTAGAATCCTGGAACACTGGAGACCTATTAGTCTATCACAAAGAGATCTTTATTGCATGAAAACAGTCCTGTTTTAATGTTTCCCCTGCCCCTCTTTGAGCTTTACAAGATCAATGCAGTGAGTGGTCACTGTCCCCAGAAGCTGTGTTCTGTGGTCTCAGGGAACACAGAATAGCAGCTCACAACTGTTCGTTACTCCAGTTCCAAAGGATCCAACTCCCCCTCCTGGCCACTGCACAAATGTGGCGTATGTACACACAGGAAGGCAAAGCAACCAACCACACACACACACACACACACACACACACACACACACACACACACACAAATAATAACAATAATAATAATAATAATAGAAAATAATACAAATTGTATTGTTGAGTGATCTCCCTCTGAAAGCTTTTATATCTATAGCACTTTCCCTGTAGATAGTCAATGCATCTCTGTGGCAAGTAAACCTCAGAGATCACTGGTTTAAAATCATCACTAACACCTAAATGGTGTGAGCATCAGAGGACAGTTTCAGTTGCTCCCTGCCAGGGCTGCCCACATCAGAGCTGGAGTCTCTCAGCTTTGCTTGGAACCAGTCTCCTTCCTGATGGATTCTATTTAGAAAATGCTCGAATCTCCCTTTGACGTTACAGGGATTAAAAGTAAAACCATAACTTATAAATTGATTTTTAAGCATACACAATTATTGTGTTACCTTTAAGAAACGATGAGTAAGCATTTGAACTTGTGTTTAGCTGGCTTCTCTTTGTGTTATCTAGCTAAAAAAAAATAATATTTAATCTTTTACTATATTGTATTTGTTTTATTAATATTACTAATAACAATGATTCATGCTGCTCATCCTTTGTTTCTATGGAAATATCCGTTATTCAGTAAAACAATGAATTCTCTCTTAGACTCCACCAGAGAACACTGCCTCACTTAATGTCCTTTTCATATTTCAGTAATTCACATCAGTTACACTTGTTTGTCCAGTTATCAAATTCCACAGGCTTTGGAGCTGAAGAGAGCTTGCACATTTATATCTCTCTAGGTTTCTTATTGGAATTGAAGAAACTTAAAATCTATAGAATTTGCCCAAGCCAAAAACTGTGTCTCTCTGAAAGCCAGACTGTCTTAGGGTTTCTATTGCTTTGACAAAACACCATGACCAAAAGCAAGTTGGGGAGGAACGGGTGTATTTGGCTTACCCTTCAGCATTGCTGTTCATCACTGAAGGAAGTCAGGACAGGAACTCAAACAGGGCAGGATCCCAGAGGCAGGAGCTGATGCAGAGGCCATGGAGGGGTGCTTCTTACTGGCTTGCTTCCCCTGGCTTGCTCAGCCCAGCTTCTTATAGAACCCGGGACCAGCAGCCCAGGGATGGCTCCACCCACCACGGGCTGGTCCCTCCCCCATTGATCACTAAATGAGAAAATGCCTTACAGCTGGATCTCAAGGAGGCTCCTTCCTCTGATGACTTCTAGCTTGTGTCAAGTTGACACACGAAACCACTCAGTATACAGACCCTTGTTGTTTCTCCAGTTGATGGAGATAAGGCTCGCTCTAGGTCAGAATTTCATCACTGTTCTGTGGAAACACATCACTATGTATGTGTTTATGCCTATGATGCATGCGCAGTGAGCTCTAAGTGTTCTTCTGTTCTGTTTTCCTTTTTCAGTCATACATCATTTTTCCACAAGACAAAGACGAATTAGAGCTATAAAGGAAATGGCCAGGGTCTTAGCTCCTGGAGGCCAGCTGATGATTTACGTTTGGGCGATGGAACAGAAGAACAGACACTTCGAGAAGCAGGACGTGCTGGTGCCATGGAACCATGCTCTCTGCTCCCGGCGGCTCTCAGAATCCCACCAGTCCTGGGGGCATCCGTGTGGGCATCCCACGAGCCAAGGCCACCAGGGTCCTGGCTCCGCCTGCGGCTGCGCGGTGTGTTTTCAGGGCAGGTGCGATTCCAAGCGGTCCCACAGCATGGACGACGGGCCTGCGATGGCAAGAACCTGCTGTGAAGATGTTTCGAAGGAAGGCGAGGAAGCGAATGGATTGTATAACAACTTTGGAAAATCTTTCCGCTCCTGGTTTTTCTCCAGGTCTTTGGATGAATCAACCCTGAGGAAGCAAACTCAAAGAGCCAGACCCATGAAAATCACGGAGGGCTGGGCCGATAGCACTGTTTCTCGTCAGCCTCCCAGACACCCCAGCTTAGACTTACATCCCCAGGAGACGTTTTCAACAAAAGAACCAAACTTGGACGAGGTGTTTGGAGACACATCTTTTCAAAGACACTTGGGCTGGCTGGAAGCACCGGGCAGTTCAGAGAACTTCAGTGGACACCGGGGAGGAGGGGGCAGGAGGAAGGAGGGCGGCGATTTTCTGGACATCGCTGACACCAGAGACAGTGTGGCTGCAGACAACGTCATTGATCCTTCTGCCAGAAAAATATTAAGGAGAGTTTCTGCATTTGACTCTACAGATTCCAAACCAGAAGGCCCAAGCTACGCGGAGGAGCAGCAGGATGCTCCGGATTCCAGGGCCTTCATGCGCTACTACCATGTGTTCCGGGAAGGTGAGCTGTCTGGACTACTGCAGGAGAGTGTGTCCGAGCTGCACGTTCTGAGTGCCGGCAATGACCATGGTAACTGGTGCATCATTGCAGAGAAAAGGGAGAGCTAGGTATAACTACACCACTTGGGTCAGGGGCTTCAGAGGCGGCCCGTTATCTGTCCACTGCGGGGGATGTGGGCACCTGAATCAGCATCCTGTTTCATTGTTTTCAAATCCAGGTACGAGATGGTCCTTGGACACTTTGACCTGATCCTCTGAGTAGTTGAGTAAGCACAGAACCTGGAGCTTGCTGCATCGGCCACAGGATTTGTCTACTGAAATGTCAATAAAAGGATCTGCGGAAGCAATAGAAAATGTACTTCAGTACAGGCTTGATTTTATTGCTCCGGGAGATGAAAATATTATAATAAGTGTAAGTTCAGTGTCAGTATTATCTTTTGGTTTTTAAATATTCTGCTGTTAAATATCTTTTAGAAGCAGTTTTATATATATATATATATATATATGCTGGTTCTCAGGTCGATACTTAGATCTGTGTGGAAGGTAACAAGGACGCCTGTTCGGCTGCTGTGTGTGTATTTGTTGAGACTTGCTGTGGGGGTGTCTTGTTTTCAGGCTTTGTGTCTATCTACTCCAAGCCTTCAGAGACATTCATATGATGCAGAGAAACACAAGTATTGCCCAGACTTTCTAAATCACATGCAAACGTCCTTCAGGATGATCACTGTAAATAACACCATCTTCTGTGTTGTTCCAAAGGGTTTTAAAGGCACTGTTAGCAGAGGGTGTGGCTTTGTCTTCGAGCAGGCAGCTGGCATGCCCAAGAATCAGCATCTATGCACACACAGATAGAGGAAAAAGAATAAAAACACTGTTAGCATGCAGAGACCATTACATGGGTGGGAGATGTTATCAGTCTTCTGGTGGCATTTCCCCCAAAGATATTAGAAGCATAAATATCCTGCTGAGATAGTGCCAAAATTAACCAAAGAGTTTTTGACCAGGAAGTGCTTGTCTGAGATATCTGAGAGTCTAATTAGACCACTTTTACTTTGACTGTTAGGAAAGATTTGAAGAGTGCTGTGTATTTAGCCTTGATGGACACATAACTGGGATTTGTTGTTGCATGCCCAGGCATTTACTCTTAATGGTGACCACATTAGATTCACTGTATCAATGATCTAGACAGAATCAAAACTTACTTATAGGTTGAATTTCTGGTACTCTATAGAGCAGTGATTAGACCGGGCACTATTGCTGCTTTTTATATAGATTAAACCTCAGGTCTGTTTAATTCTATGTCATGGATCCCCAAGGAACAATTTATGACATAACTAGGGACCAGACTTGAGAGAAACAAAAAATAAGTTGGCCAAGGAATACGGTTCCAGATCACCCTTTAATAAGCAGAAAATCAAATAGTCATCATACTTTCTGGACCAATGTAATGATGGATATTGGATTAAAATCCAATCTTCATTTTATTTTTTTCCACTACAAAATTAACAAAAATTGTAATGGATCACGTTTATTTGGTGTTTACCCTCTTCAGGGATTTGGCTAGAACTTAACAGAATGAAGCTACTTTGGAAGAAAATTCAAAGATGGCTTTAAAGTGGTATTGGGGAAATCAGTGAGCCTCTTCGCGCTCCAAAGTCAGAACACCTCACCCCCGATGTGGAAGTGGTACATGGGATTTGCATTTTTCAATGCATGTTTTGTACGGGAAACAATGACAATAGACGTAGGGATAAGGTAGAACTTAGAATTCAAGGGAGTGTGCCTTCCATTTTTCAAATTAAAACATGAAACTGCATGGACAGGTGGCTTCCTGGGAGAAACGGTAACTCCAAACTAGTATTGATGACCTCTTTAGTGGGGTCCCCTCCCCACCCACCAGGTCTGTTGTCACTACACCCATTTGTCTTTGCTGCTAGACACCTGAGTTTGACATCACCTCTCTCTGGTCGGAACATGCCACTTAGAGGTCGTTATATGGAACTCAGTTCATTAGGGCGTGACAGGATAGCTTGCCAGCTAATATGTCTGAGCAAGCTCATAAAATAAACATACACGCCACTTTGTAGTAAAAGGCCTTTGGAATGGTTATTGGGGGAGAGAGATTTTCATACAGCGTTGACAGAATCGTGAACACGAATAATAGCGATCTTGCACTCTTCTTGTCTGTAAAGCACAAGAATTCTATGCACCCAGATGTTATATTGTATATTCAGCAAAACTAGTGAGTGGGTACCACTCTTGGGGGGGGAGGGGATTCCTTGTGAAAAGCACCGCTACATTCAATTTTTGCCTTTTGATGATTAAAAAGCCATTGAAAATTCATGTAAACATCTTGACCATGCAAAAGCTTGCTCATCTCCATGGCCGTCCTCAGAGAGAAACACAAGTCATAACGGAGACAGTGTGTGTCCATCAGCCTTAACAAGCTTGTGTGTAGGTTAATCCACTGATCTGTCTGATGTGATCTGCAAATCTTCTCCATCCATTGTTCATAAGCAAAATGATGTTTTCCTAGTTCCTTCGTGACATCAACACAGAGTCCCCCTGTCTGACGTGGAGGGGAAAGTTCAGGGAAGTTCTTAGAGAATCCTTAAAGGTACGACTAGTGGTGCCTCACTGGCTTGCAAGGGAACTTTGTGTAAACAGACAAATGCATTGACGTATACAAAAGACGCAATCAAGGTGATATTTTCCCAAAGGCCAAGTGATGGGTTAGTTTCTCTGGGTTACTAGGTTTTGGAGGGTTTTTGTTGTATGGTTTTGTTTCGTTTGCTTATTGGCAGAGTGATGAAATCAGACTGGTGTGCTATGGTAACTGCAGACCAGCTGCACACAACACTGGCTGTCAGATAGATTTGATCCTTCCCTCTTACCGTACGTCCCCGTACAGTCCATCACTAATTCCTGTTTCTAGTTTTCCCCATCTCCTCCATCCTGATCCTAAATACCAAAGATGCCTGTGTTTAACTGACCTTCATTGGAGTCGGCAGAAATGGAAGGCAGGCCAGACAGGAAATTATCCAAATGTAAATCAGGAATGTGAATGTACTTGTATACTATTTGCCACCGAACAAATGAACACTGGTGGGTCTTTCAAATATATGGGCTCCCAGGAGAATAGAAAATGGAACTCCTAGTTGTACTTAGTATGGGAGAAAATGCCTTAAAATGAGGTGTGAGGGACTGGAGCGGTGGCTTAGTGACTTAGGGTGCTTGCTATTCCTGCAGAGGATCTGAGATTGGTTCCTAGTACCCATGTTGGGCAGCTCATAAATGCTTCTTCAGGACTCCAAGGGCACCTGCACTCACACTCACACACATGCACAGACCCACACACATGCAGGCACACACACACACACACACACACACACACACACACACACAGAGAAAGAGACAGATAAACCAACAGACAGACAGACAGACAGAATTAAAGCATAAAAATGAATCTTTAAAAAAAAAAAGAAACTGGGCTATGAACACCCAGCTTGGAAGAGAGAAGAAAATTGGCTGTTGGCTCTACAGCTAGACTATAAAAAACAGATAAAGCCAAGACTCCCTTTCTCTGAACATAAAAATTGGGAAATAATAACAGCAGCTAACTATAGTAGCCAACGTTTACTATTTTGTTTGTAATCCTCTCCACAGCTCTCTCAGATAAATACACTTACGTTCCCATTTTGCAGATAACATTTAAGACAGAAAAAAGTGTGCTAAATCCTCAGAGTCTACAAGGACAGTAGGTATCACCCATTTAGTTAAAGGTGGAGCTAAGATTCAACCCCAGATGCTCTGGCTCCAGCCTGGGTTTATAACCACAGTTCCCCACAATGCACACCTGCTGGGTCCCAGGCTTCATGCTAAGCAGGTAATAGAGTGTTCAGGGTTAACTATGATGGTCCCCTGTGCAAAGGCACTAAGCAGGACTATGCATCTCTCTCCCCTTTGGTTTCTTTTCTTTTCTTTTCTTTCTTTTTTTTTTTTTTTTTTTTTTGTTTTTTTCGAGACAGGGTTTCTCTGTGTAGCTTTGGAACCTTTCCAGGAACTCACTCTGTAGCCCAGGCTGGCCTCAAACTCACAGAGATCCGCCTGGCTCTGCCTCCCGAGTGCTGGGATTAAAGGCGTGCGCCACCACCGCCCAGCCTTTCTTGTCAACTTTTTACTTGGATTTATTTGTGCTTGTGTGTCTCTGTCTTTGTGTGCATGTGTGTGGGTATGATGAAGTCAGGAGACAACTTGCAAGAGTTGGTTCATTCCTCCACGATCTTCGTGGTTGGTGGCAAGCATCCATACTCCCTGAACCCTCTCGCCGGCCCTGTGTTTTCTTTTTTTCAATTATAAATCTATCTTAGAATCTATTTTACTTAGAAAAAAAGTCCTCAATCACAACACTCTGATCACTTTCCTACGGTTCTCTAACCTTCTAAAAAGCCTATATCTAGTTTCCTGCTCTATGTGTGAAGAACATGAGGGCTAACCCAGGGATTTCGTTGACTCCATTTGTTCAGGGTCGTACAGTGCCCCACATACAAATGATGAGAAGCCATGACATGTCTGGGGTCTTGAGTTGACGTAATATTAGACTTAATGACCTAAAGTTCAAGTGTCCCACTGGAACACTGTTTGCATTTGCTGTATGCCTGTGATCATACTGTATTTTTAGTTTAGTAAAACACTATTCAAACCCCTGTTCTGGGGTAAGGGTGCTGGTGAGGATCACACATGCATATTAATTAACATGAAGGATGCCTGTCTTAAGCACTCAGACTTCATTTAACTGAGCTGACTCCAGGCCAATGGCCACCCTCTAACACAATTGCTCTGTAAGTGTGTTTCTGAAAAGAATGTGTCCTGTCGGATAAGATATGAACTCATTTGGAAGGCATGCAGGCCCCTAGTAAGCCAACCCATGTTATTTTTCCGACTCATTTCCTACAACTGCACCTGTTTTCTGTTCTGCAATCTGCTATTTTAAACAATGATCTCATTAAAATTACATAAGAGCAAGTAATTATTCCATCCCTTGAAGGGATCCAATATATTCAGACTTGAAATGCTGTAACTATAAGCTTTCCTCAAAGACAGATACACAAACAGGCTCATCCCATCAACAGATAAAGGAATGCTAGGACTCATTCGGCTGACGAAGGACAGTCCACGGGAATGCAAGGGGACCAGAGGCCCCACTTGATTATTCAAATTCTCTGGTCCCAGTCTTGGCTCAGAATCCAGAACTTGTTTTGAATCTATGAACTCCATCCTCACAGCCTCTGTCATATACAAAACTGAAGTAAGGCCAGGCGGTGGTGGCGCACGCCTTTAATCCCAGCACTCGGGAGGCAGAGCCAGGCGGATCTCTGTGAGTTCGAGGCCAGCCTGGGCTACCAAGTGAGTTCCAGGAGAGGCGCAAAGCTACACAGAGAAACCCTGTCTCGAAAAACCAAAAAAAAAAAAAAAAAACTGAAGTAAGAATTTGAAAAGAGATCTCATCACAGCCAGGTATGGTGGCACAGGCCTTTAACTCCAACACTTGGGAGGCTGAGGTAGGCAGATCTCTGAGATTGAGGCCGGTCTGGTCTACAGAGCAAGTTCCAGAGTAGCCAGGGCTACACAGAGAGACCCTATCTTGGGGGGGGCGGTATCATCAGCCAAGGACTGAAACCAGCACACACAGCACTCTTCAGGAGAGAGAAACAGAAACAAAGGGAGCAACCAAGCAGAAAATGCATCCTGTGAAGTGTACAGTGTTTTTGTTTTGTTTTCTTTTAAACAGGGTCTCATGCATCTTAGGCTGGCCGTGACCTTGCTATATACTTGAGGTTAACCTGAGCCACCTAATCCTGGTTTATGTGGGGCAGGGGATCCAATGCAGGACCTGGCGCATCCTAGGCAAGCACTCTACTCCCTGAGCTGCATCTCCATCCCCAGGCTGTAGAGTGTGTTGTTCACCCTGAGACCTACAATGTACCCCAACAGTAGAAATGTTTCATCGCTGTGTTACCCCACAGAGTGTCCCTCCTCTATGAAGGTTCTCCTTCAATCGATTGTAAACAGACAATGGGTCACTTTATGTTGCCAGGTAATCTATCTGGCTAATCTGATGGGTCACTTGTGAGAGCTGGTATCCAATCGGGTGCCCAGTTGGCAAATGCATGCTTTGTCTTTCTTTCAACTTGAGTTGGGAAAAAAATAAAGCTGATTCTAGTGTAACTATTCTTGACCACATGAAAACAACCGATTTTCTCCACATTAGTTATTTATTTGTCTAAGGCTCCTACCTCCTCATGGAAGAAAGTGAGTCATAGCAACTCCTCTGTAGCTAGTGCAGCCAGACATCAAAGTTCCTAGACCAAGAAGTATACATGTACTTGTGTTCACCCAGGAGGAAAACTATGTGAAAGACAGATATTTTTCCTACACACCAATCCTAAAACTTCTGCTTACATGGTCTGTTGATGTATGGCAAAGATTCAAAATTCTCCTGTTTGTTTATCCAGAACATTGACAATATTTAAGACCCACATATAAGTGGAATATCCAAGATACTCTGAATGTGTATGTGCCTATGTGCCAGGTCCTTCTGATGGTCTTAACTGTGTATGTAAATATATATGTGCATATGCATATTTCTAGACCTCCAGCGTCAACTGTCACTACTGACCAAGAAAAAGTTCTTCTGTGCACTTGTAGAAAACATGAACTTAGCAACTACCATAGAAATTCATTTCAGTGAATTGGCGTTTGTTGTTGCTTCAAGAACATGTAAGACAATTGCTAGATGCTTTCGTGCCTTCTCTGGTGTTGGCATAGGTAATTGTGTCAAGAGTGTAAAGCTCTTTTTTCCTACAATACAGAGATATCTTGACTTTGTTCCCCCAGAGGAAACTAGCAATAGTTTTAGAGCACAAATTGAGGTAAAACAGCATCTTGATTCTTACAACTTAAAGATATTTTATTTGCATTAACTAACAACGGCCAGGATCTTTTCGTAACAAATATTAAAAATGGTTTAATTTGTATGCTTGTGATATGTACTTGATTATTTATATGTTTGTGTGCTCTTTAGTAATAGTGCTAGATAAGCAGAATTAAGCTTTTTTTTTTTTCTTCAGTGTGTCACAGCAGGTACCATTTAGTTCACTCATCCACTTCTCGTTACACTTCAACAAAACTGGACAAGTTTGTACTGGAATCCTGTTCCCATTGTCTGGAAGCTGGCTTAACTATCTAATAATACAGTATCTTTAATGGGTTAAGAAAAAGAATACTATCTACTTTTTAAAAGACATATTTTAAGACTAATAAAGACGTAGTAGACCATCCCAAAGTGACACTGTGTTCTTTATATGCTTGACCTTCGACCTGCTCCATCTGCAGGCTGTCAGGTGGTTATAACTGCAGGAGAGTGATGGTAGGGATTTGCACCTGGCACCATTGTGGCTTCCATGAAGCTGCAAGGAGATGCAATCCAGTAGCAGATGGTACTTTAGCATCCTGCCCCTTGCCTGTGCTCTCAGAAGGGGCCATCATCAGAGTGCTGCTTGGCCCTCAATGTCAGCTGGAGAATCTGGTAGAAGGCTTCCAGTTCAAAAACGCCTGTCACTCTGGTCTTTATAAACTGTCACACTTTTTCCTCTTTGTGTTCATCTTCGATTTTTGAAGTATTCAATATCAAGTTAGCTTCAAAACTACCTATTTACCAGGCGTATGTCTGCTGTGGGATGTCTTTCTGTATGCTGTGAATATGTGTTGCTCTGATTGGTTGATAAATAAAGCTTCATTGGCCTAAGGCAAGGCAGCTTAGAGGCAGGTGGGAAATCCAAGCAGATAGACAGAGACAAGAAAGGAGAGGAAAGAGAGACACCAGCCGCCGCAGGAGAAGCAAGATGCCAGCAGACTGGTAATACCACGGCCATGTGGCAAAACATAGATTAATAGAAATGGGTTAATTTAAGATGAAAGAGCTAGCTAGCAAGAAGCCTGCTATAGGCCATACAGTTTGTAAATAATATTAAGCCTCTGAATGATTGTTTTATAAGTGGCTGTGGGACTGTGGGGCCAGGCAGACTGAGGGACCAGGTGGGACCAGAGAAACCTTCTGGCTACATATGGCAGGCTTTAAAGTTTTCTTAATAGTTAAAATTGGAAGCAAACTTTCAATTTTCCTACTTGGTTCCCCATACTCCACTCCTGGGAAATCAAGGTATTTGAGGCCTAAACTGCTCCCACTCAGCTGAGGCACCAGTCCTTGAAGGGTTAATCAGTGGAAAGGAAGGTTTAGACAGCCTCACTCGCAAGGAGCCCTTTGGGACATGAGCAGACCCCCACATGCTGTCCCATGAGCAGAAGGAGCCTGACCCCGGGTGGCTCCTCTTGTCGCAGTAGGTCTGAACAAGGGCAGGTGTTTGGGAAGCTGAGTAGAGTCTCCTACAGAATGGCTGAGCATGAGCATGACTGTAAGTGGGACAGTGGGCCACGTGGGTTCTGTGCTGCCTGTGAGACAGCTGTCCCCATCCTAATGTACAGGAGGTGCTCATTGCCCAAAGTTATAATCTCCAGATGCCAATGAGGTATCACCGTAAGCAATGTAGCCGCACCTCGAAGCTCCACAAGACGACACAATGAAAACCGGTTGGTAGGTATCGAGTCTGATTCCACACTGCCGTGTTTTACTAAAACAGTGAATTAAAGTGACCTGCACAGCCCTACATGGGCAGAATGGTTGGAGAATGATCCTTTCCCACCCATTCCTTAAGTCCTTAGGCTCAGAGGGAAGGGATCTAGGGAGAAGTTAAGGTTCTTTCTCACTGCTGTGTTAGGCCTCAGACATGTACTGCTTCAAGGAAGGTACAGTAGACAGAACTCTGCCCCCTATTGATTGAACATGGTGATTTAAAAATCTACTTTCTCCATATTTTGTTTAACAACTTATAAACAGATTCTATGGGCAAAGGGCTTTTTAGAAACCTTTGAAGACTTAATGAGAATAAAATTTAGTTCTTGGTCTTGGTAAATTAAAACCTAAAAGGATATGGGGATAAGGAGAGATGACTTGGAGGTTAAGAGCTCTGATTGAAACTCCAAAGGACCTTAGTTTGATTTTCAGCACCCACATGGTGGCCCAAAACCATCTGTAACTCGGGTTCTAGGGGATCGAACACCCTCTTCTGGTGTTTGTGGGCACCAGGCATGCACACGGTACACAGACATAGCAACACACATAAATAAAAAATAAACCTTTAAAAATAAAAAACCTAGTGGGATAGAAAAGATGGGGTTGTTTCTCTTGTTCTGGAATTTTCTCCTATTCCCTGCTTGGTCTGACTTGATCATGCTTCCAGCTTAGCCTTCGTGTGACTTTCTCAGGTAAGTTGTGGGTGGCATCTAATACCAACCTGTTGTTCCAATCTTAGATGGTCTTTTATGAAAGCTGAAAGATCAGAGAAGCAGAGCAAGCCAACCTCTCCTTGCCAACTCCTCAGCAGATCCTGTTTCCATGAATCCTCAGACTGAAAGCCTCTGAGTCCTCACCTGAACGGGTCTCAGTTGAACTGCTTTATTTCCTGTTTCCTCATGCCTTATATACCTTTCTCTGCCCAGCCGGCACTTCCTGGGATTAAAGGTGTGTGTCCTTCACAAGCAAATACATGAGATCTCAAGTGCTGGGATTAAAGGTGTGTGCCACCACTGCCTGGCTTTGTTTCCAGTGTGGCCTTGAACTCAGAGAGATCCAAACAGATCTCTGCCTCTCGAATGATAGGATTAAGGGTGTGTGCTACCACTGTCTGGCCTCTGTGTCTAATCTAGTGGCTGGCTCTGTCCTCTGATCCTCCGGCAAGCTTTATTAGGGTATACCATATATCATCATACCAACCACATACCTTCCTGCTCTCTGATTCTTCCCAGAGTCAGGTTGACTTCCTTTTGAAACTCATCACACACATTTTCTTCCCTTAGTCTTCTATCTCCCAAGGCATGCCTGTCACCTGGGTAGGGGCTTGTCTGCCTTGTTCATGATACCAAGTAGTCATAGTACTAGGGGCCCACTTGAGGGTGGTGGGGGCAAGTTATCATAAAGAAGGAAAAATGAGCCTGGGGACTGGAGAAATGGCTTAGCAGTTAAGAACACTTGTTCTTGCAGTGGACTCAGGTTCTCTTCCAAGCACCCATATAGTGGCTGACAGCCACCTCTAACCCTGGTTCCAGTGGATCTCTTCAGGCACCAAGCACTCATGTGGTGCATATACATACATGCAGACAAAACATTCATACCAAGTAAGTAAGGTAAATAACTTTAAATGAAATTTTACAAAAAAAGAAGAAATGAATTAAAGGTGAGCCCTTAGGGACACAATGTCAGGAGACAGAAGGCAGAGGGTTGAGCAATTCTTAAGGTGTAGTCAGAAGATTTCCTGTGGCCCATGTGGCCCATGGTCAGGACAAATCTCCCACCCACAGTCCCACAGCCTTTTATAAAATAATCACGCAGAGGCTTAATATTATTTATATAACTGCTCGGCCATTAGCTCAGGCTTGTTACTGACTGGCTCTTACACTTATATTAACCCATAATTCTTATCTATGTTTAGCCACGTGGCTTGGTACCTTTTCTCAGTTCTGCCTTGTCATTTTGCCTCCTCCGTGTCTGGCTGGCGACTCCTGACTCAGCCCTTCCTCTTCCCAGCATTCCTTTGGTCTACTCGCCTCACCTATACTTCCTGCCTGGCTACTGGCCAATCAGAGTTTTATTAAACCAGTGTACAAAAGCCTTATCCCACAGCACTAAGGGGATCTGGGAGGCTTAGAATCATTTGTTGATGGTGACAATACACCATTTATTACGTAGGCTCTATAGACCAGAAATGTTTATAGTACCATCTATTTCTAAAACCAACCTTGAAAGTAGGTGTCACTGATACCCTTGTATAGAAGGAAGCTGAGGCTCACAAAGGCTAGGCCACATCTATCTATGACAGTGAAGGCACTCAGCTGTGTCCTGAGTCATTATTACAAAACCCATAAGAAGGTTGTTTTGTGAGTGACAAGGAAAGAAGCCCTGAGAAACAGGTAGCAGCTTGACTCTAGTGATCGTGAACACGGGAGTCACAGATTCAGGCTTTCCCCTGCTTGTGGTAGAGAGGCTCTGAAGAAGTCTGGACAGGTGCTTCAGAAACACTCTGTTGGATAAGAGAGCAGCTGGAAGTCGGAAAGGGAGGAAGGAGTTGAGACTCCAGGGAGGTAAGGGCAGCCCACCTGAGGAGACCCAGCAGGAGCTGGGACAGCAAATTTAGAAGTAGAAATAAGACTCAGGAGGATAAAAGAAAGTGGACCCTATGAAGAGAGGCAATGAGAAGAAAGAGCAGAAACAACTAAGATGTTTTTAAACCAGACAAGAGCAAGATAAGCAGGAACGGCGACGGGGATGGCGGTGTGAAATGTGGAGAAAGACTGCCCTCTTCTGGAGAACTGAAAACTTGCTTTGAAGCTCTGATTGTTCAGAAGGTGAATCCATATTCACTACCAGTAACGAGTAAGTAGATGCCCAGATAGGAATTCAAGTAGATTTCACTGTTAAAAGAAAAAGAGTTGGGGCTGGAGAGATGGCTCAGAGGCTAAGAGCACTGACTGCTCTTCCAGAGGACCCAGGTTCAATACCTAGCACCCACATGGCAGCTCACATCAGTCTGTAACTACAGTTCCAGGGGACCTGACACCCTTGCACAGGCATACACACAGGCAAAAGATCAATGCACATAAAGATAAATAAATAATAATTTTTAAAAAAGAACAAGAGTCTATGGAGGCAGGTTGATGCGTCTTCAACATGGACCGCTGCAGAGTCATGTGATAGAATGCCACTTAGTGAATAGGTAAGAATAGTACTTGTGGTGGGGAATGAAAGCAAATGTTTTGGGAAAGTTAATGTGTATAAAAGAAATAAATGGCTGATTTCTAGCTACTGATGTGATATTGAACTACTTAAAATCATCAAACCTTGAAATGTGAAGATTTGAACAACTTAAAACTGCTGGGCGGTGATGGCACATGCCTTTAATCCTAGCACTTGGGAGGCAGAGGCAGGCGGATCTCTGTGAGTTCGAGGCCAGCCTGGGCTACCGAGTGAGTTCCAGGACAGGCTCCAAAGCTACACAGAGAAACCCTGTCTCGAAAAAATAAAACAAAAAACCAACAACAGAACAAGTTAAAACTGTTAATGGGGAGCGAGAACAGCTGGATCAAATCCATGAGATCCATCATACTGGGAGGTGTCCAGGTATCTCCCCACTGTACCCCAGTACCAGCTAAGGATCTGCTCCCCCACAATCTGCTCCTGTGGCTTACACAGGCCGTGGGTCACTGAAAAGGTCTGTCCACCTAGGGAGAGTCAAAGGGGGGTTGGGTCATCTTGAGACGCTGGCCATCATGGCTGCCCTCACTGCCTGTCCTAAGAAAGTCAGCCATCCCATTCAGAACCTGGTCCTACTCCTCTAACGTTCACACTGGGCTCCTCTCGGCTTCTCTGCCCTGGTATCGCTGGATCCTCATTATTGCTCAAAAGTTTTAGGCCTCAGGACATTTGCACTTTCTAGTCTCTCCCCTAGGAATGGTTTTCTCTGGAATATAAGCAATCCCCCCACCTTCTTCCAGCTGTGGCCCAGAAGGATTTGTTCTGAACCTGGATTCCCTGGCAACCGTTTTACAGCTGCCCGTGGACATTCCTCCTCACTGTACCAACACAACCCCACAATCCCACATTCCCACATAGCACTGAACATAGCACTGAAGGGTTTTCCTTCAGTGCTATGTTTTCCTCTACGTCACCTCTGATCATGTTTATTTCTCTAGTACAGCGCTTCTCAACCTGTGAGTTGTGACCCTCTCAGGGTCTAACAACCCTCTCACAGGAGTCGCCTAAGACCATCGGGGAAACACAGATATTTACATTCTTTGGGGGAATAATCATTTTATAGGCATCATTTGGGAGTAGCCGTTTTTTATAACTGATTTACAGTGTGAGACGTTACAGTGGTAATTATTTTAAGAGTTAAATTCCAGCCCTGTAAAGGTACTTACACAAACAGTTCAGTAATAGACATGCATGCAACCTGACTCACAGCTCCTTTACGGGGTGTGGCCAGCTTTGTCCTCATTACCAAAAATATCGCTGGTGGGAAAGCTTTTAGAGCAGTGGCTCTCAACCTGTAGGTTGAGACCCTTTGGATAGAAGAACTTTCTCACTGGGGTCGCCTAAGACCATCAAGAAACACAGATATTTACATTACGATTCACAACAATAGCAAAATTACAGTTACGAAGTAATGATGAAAATAATTTTATGGTTGGGGGGTCACCACAACAAGAGGGACTGTATTGAAGGATCGCAGCGTTCGGAAGGTTGAGAACCACTGCTCTAGCGTATGTTACTCTCTGCCTTCCCAAGAACCAGGGCTTCGTGGGGACAGCGACCGGGGTTCTGTTTCATTGGCTACTCTAGGGCCTCCCATGCCTATGCCGCTGATCATTCACTGAGGACAATTTGGTGCCACTGGGGATGAGTTCAGCAGTGCCCATACCCTTAATCTCTTCCTGACAGCAGGCACTTACCCTTGCCTAGTCCTGGGGAGTCCAATTCAGGGATGAAGAGAAATTCTGAAAAAAACAGGAGGTGAGGACTTGGAAAAACCAAGCCTTGGGTGTGTTGCTTTTCTGGTTTCAAGCCCTTCCCTGGGAGGACAGACTCACTTCAAGCTGAGTGCCCATCCTCCCAGCTCTCTGAGCAGCATGGATCCTCTCAGCTCTGTCTCCAAGAGGAACGTCTGAGGCTAGACGTGAGAATCTCGAGAGTACAGTAAGCTGCGGCCAGGAGGCAGCAAAGTAAACAAACGGCTGTTTCTTGGAAGTCCAGGTTTCGTGTGGAACCCTAAAGTCCAAAAACTGAAATACTCTCTACAGATTCGAAACTCAGAGCTCTGGCATGATGCTACAGGCATGTAAAAAGCTCCATGAACAAAGTTATTGGATAGATGCATAAACATATGAAGTGTAAATGAATTTTGTGTTTAGTCTTAGGTCCCATCCCCAAGAGACCTCGTTATGTATGTGTAAATATTCCCAAATCCACAAGAGTCTTAAGTCCCAGATGCTTCTGGTTTGGCGCATCATGGATAAAGAATCTTAAAATTCTTCCATCCTTCCATTCCCCACCTGTCTCCTGCTGCTGTCAACACTTCCTGTCTTAACTAGGTTGCTTCAACCCTCTGAGCTTTAATTTCCTCATGTGTGCAATTTTTTGCACCTATAAAACTGGATTAATGATCACAGTCCTGGGATAATTAAATAGGATGAATCCTGGGCTGGAGACTCAAAGCTCCAGGAAAGGAAAGAGCTGCGGAGAACCCCAGTACATGGTCAGATAGGTTACGTTCTCTCCAAACATGTGAGGGAACTCACAAAAACCCCCGGGGGGTCAACTCACATTTGACTTTCTCTTTTCTAGTTAGGAAAAGAAACACATTAGATACCTGTATTGGCTGACTGAAGGAAAACCAAATTTCAAACCCAAAGACTGCATGAAGTACCAACGATGTTTAGAATTGGCAGATCAAACTCTGAATTTCAAATTTAAACAAGCATTTTTCTGATATGACATCCGCCTACACAAAAGTGTTAGGGATAGATTAGATTAAGGTCAGGGCCACAGACAGTTTGTTAGTATCCTCAATACCACACTTTTATTGTTCCTAGCGTCCCGACCTAGGGTTGCCAGAGGTAGGCTATTCCCAGAAGCCTGCAGACTGAAGCACCCTGCTGCAGGCTATAGACTGCTCGAAAATACTTTAAGTTCAGTGTGATAACCTGGCACTGTCACCAGAGCCCCAGCTTCAAGGTCTTTCCTCGTGACCGTTCCACAGGAAGGAACTCTCCAAAGCCCTGCCCTCTGTTGGCTCTGGCCTCCTGCGCGGCATTATCATTGCACTTCCGCTGGGCTGTCAGTCACTGAGGAAGCAAACCTGCCGTAGAATCCTTCCCCAGGCTCTCCTTTCCTTGTGAAATGGACCTTGGTGCTAGTTACAGCAACCATGCGAGGTAAAGTTGGTGCAAGCAGCCAGACTGTTTAGCTATTTAAGGTGACAGAGATGTCCGGCATCCTGCTTTGATCCTTACCTAATGCGTATATAACACTGTACTCCATAAATGTGCATGATGATTGAGTCAACAAAATAAGAACTAAGAGAAAAAGAGAAACATACACAGGAACAGCAACAAAAAGACTCGAGAGTTTTTAATACATACCAGTGAACAGGATCCACCTGGAATCCATCAGAGCAGACCTTCCACATCTGAGTCCTTTTAAATATGTAGTCCTGCAAAGGAACTCCAGCTTGCAGAGCCAAGGCCTAGCTCCCGTGCCTGCGAAGCCTCCCCAGTTAGGCTATTCTCCCTACCTGTACCTCATGGCACAAACTTCTCAAGAGACACCAGACACTGCATCCGCACAATCGCCTGAGTGTCTCCTGATCATTTCATGCCTGCCTGGAAGGTTTTACACAACTGTCTGTTGGTCTAGGACCCAACTACCCATGGTGTAGCCCTCGAACCAATAAGCATCAGCCTCACCCAGGATCCTGGAAGCAGGGTGTCTCAGGGTTTCTATTGCTGTGGTGAAACACCATGACCAAAAAGCAAGTTGGGGAGGAAAGAGTTTATTTGGCTCACACTTCCACATTGCAGTCCATCAGTGGAGGAAGTCAGGACAGGAACTCAAACAGCAGGAATCTGGAGGCAGGAGCTGACGCAGAGGACATGTGGGGGTGCTGTTTACTGGCTTGCTCCTCATGGCTTGCTCAGCTGCTTTCTTACAGAACCCAGGACCACCAGCCCAGGGATGGCTCCACCCACCATGGGCGGGGCCATCCCACATCAATCACTAATTAAGAAAAATCCTTACAGCTGGATCTTACAGCAGCATTTTCTCAACTCCTTTCCTCTCTAATGAGGCTCCCTCCTCTCTGGTGAGTGTAACTTGTGTCACGTTGACATAAAACCAGCCAGCACGCATAAAATCAAAATCTGCCCGTGCACAGACCACCAAACCCCAACACTGTGGTCTGAGAAACCTTCTGAAGACCTCACATTCAGGCTTCCAACATCACTCAGCTCCAGCGTCTTCACCCCTGTCAACCTAAATAATGGAGATCGTCTAAAGAGTAATGATGCTCATTTGGGAATAGAATGGTTAGGCATATGGAAAGATGATGGACAGGAAGTTCTTAAAGACAAAATGGGGAGATTTCATAATGTGTTTTGATACCATAATCTTTCTCCACAAGCACTGAAAAACAAAGGTGATGCCAGCCTGAGGTTGACTTGACCTTCACTAGGCAGCTGTTACCACAGAAGCAAAATTTTGTATGAGATTTCAGTGGTCCTTGTGCAAAATTGTGGTCCTGGGAAGCCATTTTGGATTATTACTATGAAGCCATCATACTTACGAGAACCCTTTCTGCATAACTTTTTGTCTTGTTGACACCAGTGACTCCATTTTTGATTCTGGCAACTTCCACATGACCTTCTGCTTGAAAGAGTAAACTCCTTGGTCCTTGCAGTGTTTCCAGGTTTGTGTTGCTCATGGAGAAAGAACTCAGAAACAAGCCACACCAAGGAATTAGGAGGAAGTCTTATTACAGAGACATAGTACATACCTATAAGGTGAGTGTCTCAGGGTTTCTATTGCTGTGAAAAGACACCGTGACCATGGCAACTCTTACAAAGGCAAACATTTAGTGGGGTGGCTTACAGTTCAAAGGTTCAGTTCGTTATCATCAAGGGGGGGACGTGTCGATGTGCAGGAAGGTGCGGTGCTGGAGAAGAAGCTGAGAGTTCTACAACTTGTGCAGGCAACAGGAAGTGAACTGAGGCGCTGGGCATAGTTTGAGCATATGTGAAACCTCGAAGCCC